GAAAATAAACTTAAAACGACGCGTTCTGGAAGAAGGGTGAGATTTCCAGAACATTTAAACGACTATTGCACGTAAGGCACTTCTCGACATTTTATATTATTTTTTAAAAAAAAACAATTTTAATATGCTTATATATTTTTATTTCTATTTAAAAAAAAACAAACAAAAAAACAATTTTTTTAACGCTATTACGTGTTCATGAGTTTATTTTCCATTTTTTTTCCGCCGACATTGTGTTTTTACGCACATACGAGTGTATTTCGACATGCACTTACATTTTCTTTTTTCTTTTCCAGGACGGCTGGAAAAGAACGATGACGTTTATGAGGATCCGAAATTTTCATTGTACATTTTCTTTTTTTACTATGTTGTACCTCCGTCCCATATAGTAAGGAAAGACGACCAGACGCTGCTAAATTTAGCAAGCTATCAGAAGAGTGTTTACCAACGACAAACTCGTTGGGTTTAAACTTCTGGCTGGCCACGTCTTAGGGTCGTCACTGCCCCACTAGGGGGGGAGTGATCTGTAGCGGTAAATAAATCCCCAAAATAAATAGCACTGTAAGTTTTCGACATTGGATGCTGACCATATGTTTTAGTGGACTCACCTAGCTGAAGGCGCTCGGTCAGGCATCCGCACCAGATCACGTGTGGTAACGCCGTGCTCAACATCAACCGCAATCGCTAGCCAGATTAGATCAGAGAATTCCGATATATTGGTCATCGCCAAATATACTCTTCCGATCTCCTCGACTCTGTCTTTTGATTTCTCTTGGTGGGAACGAAATACATTAGAAGGTGTTACTGGTAGAAGCGTTGTCAAACACTGAATACCTGTGACATCATCACCAGTATTTAGATGATGAAATGTTTAGATTACTATACCCGATTTATGTGCGATCACATTTAGGAAACGGATTCAAGCAGCGTGTCCTTGTTTCAAATATGAAGCAGATATGCTAGAAAGAGTCCGATGACGAGGTACTAAGATGGTACAAGGTCTATCTGACCTATCTTATGAAGACAGACTGAGACACCTCAACTTATTTCCGTTATCTTAGCGTAGAATACAAGGTGATCTAATATTGGCTTATCGTATACTGATCGATGACTGTGGTATTAACACGTCTGATCTTTTACTTTCGTCCAGGACTGATCATTTGAGGGGACATTCGAAGAAAGTTCAAAAACCGAGATCAAACCGTTTACGTCTGGAGTTCCGTTTCTCGCACCGAGTACTGGAATTCTCTACCGGAAGACGTAATATCAGCACCATCTGGTAATATATTCAAAACGAGATTGGACCTTCACAGTATTACAAACTGCCAGGATTAATATAGGTCGATAGACCTCCTATCCTTATTACTGAGGACTGAAGACTGAAGATTGAACACCGCGTATTATCAGCTCTTACGCTACCGAGTGGAGTATGTTTTATGTCAATTATTAAGCTTCCGATTATGCCAGTTCCCTGAACTTTTGAACTGAGATTAAGATTTCGTAGTACTACAAGTAGAAAGAGTAGATATCACCGCAAGACCTTTCGTTGTTACTTCTGTATCTTCATGAAGACAAGTTGATGTAGTGATATGTACTGATCAGCACTCAATCCTCGAGCAGATGTACAACATATTTCTTACAAAACGTTTGTCAGGGTTTGATTTGTGAATATTACCAGGTCTGCTGCAGAAAAATCTGGTTAACTTAAGAGGCGATGAAACTAGTCAGTCAGTCAGTCAGCTATAACGTAGGACTAGGCACATATATGCATCGACCAAAGTTGCCATACCTCATTAGCACAACAAGATGAACACCGGATTCATAGAAGTAGTTAGTTTAATGATGTTAATACACAGAAGAATGATAACATATCAAGGTATATTACAGTAAGAAAGAATTAGTTCGTAGAAAGATGTGAAGCGATCTTAATCTCATAGTTTAAAAGGAAACAAAGAGTGTATGCACCTACGCCATTGTGATCGATTCTGAGAAAACCATTAACCTACTTTAGCCTTAATGAATAGTGTTTTGAACAGAAAATCCGAGTAAACTGAATAAATCAATACTCAGTCTAGGTCGATTGCTTTTTATCTCCTGTTAGCTGTTTTATAGTGTAACATTTGGATGCTAAATATGCCAATATAAAAATTTGTAAAGATACTTTGGGGGTTTGGGTGACAACTTAATATACGAAATCAGCCGATAATAGGAATCGAGCTACCCCACTTATGATCTCAGTAAAGCTGTTTTGACTACATTCAAATATGTAAGCATGATTTTGACCATACTAATTTTCATTTTGTGAACCTTTTAACCCACAAACTAGATCTAAATTGGCTATGGTCTCCTAATACTATCCAGTTTACTAAGACATCCTAGTTGGACCACGGTTAATAAATAATATCTTGAACTGTTTAGCGCTGTTTGAGTTTGAAATTTCACATATTTGGCTGTGCCTATCTCCTTGATTCAAATTGTTTAGTTTCAAATCTAAGTTAAATTAGTGTAATGTACAAGGATTAGGAAGGTTTAATGCAACTAGGTAACCACCTACAGGTTTATACTTTCCGTCTCATTAACTGAGAAATAATAGTATATGGTTTGGACTCAGTGATTGTACGTCGATATCTAAGCCACCCTATTCCGACCCCATAAATACAAAACCTTTTCACTTTGGAATGTAAGTACAAGAAGTCATAAAACTCGGTCCTAGTATTCGATCGAGCTAACAGTCACTAATGTACACCGTATAAAAAACTCTCAAGTTTTTGCAAATTAAGCACAGATTTCATGACATGTTGTATGACAATACTCATAGACGGTTCTGCTGACGACGGTATCCACAAAGAAAAAGAATATTAATGTGCAGCAATACTCATTATTCACGCTTACATGATTTATTTTAACTTTCGAAAGGACTTATCATTCTAGCTTTTTCATCTATTCTGTCCCACATATGTTTTGTGTTTGCAACTGTTCGTGCATTACCTTAACCGTTTTTTATACATATATGCGTCTAATCACTGCCTGTATTTCTTTGATGTTCATAAAGATTGACTCACTTTGTTGTTAACTCTAATATATCCATTATCTGTCTGCCGTTCAACATTAACATGTCTGGAATATAAGTATTCTAAATACAATTCACATTCGACTCGTGTCATCTGCGTTGTGTCAATGCGATTTATCGACAGAATGTCTGCCAAGTAAATATGATTTACATTTTATTGGTGTTAATATCAATCGATCGAAATGAAGCGAACGACGAGCAAAAATACTCTACTACTGTTCTGTTGTATCTCCACTAATCACTTGTTAAGCTATCGTAAAATATAGACCACTTTTGTTTTAGGTTTCTCGTTAGGTCAACCATATATGACGCAAAGTACTGGTTTAAACATTGTATACAATTGACTCACTGACTTCTCGCGCCGGAGGTGTTCTTTACGAAGTTTACAGAGCAAAACGCGAATGTCCGGTGCTTTAATCGGGTTAATGTATATGGAGGATCCGCTCAGGGGAGTTAGTAAACCCTGATACCAAACCAATAGTCCAAATGAGCTCCAGGATCCTAAGGGAACAAATGGCGTATGAACCAATTATCGGTCACTGGCTACCATGGGATTGCATCTCCTAACGTTGCCACACTGCCTTGTGGATTGGACCTTAAGGTCAAAGGCTCGGGCACTGGCACCCTGAGTAAACCACCTGCTTCAGCTTGGGCGCCCGGGCAGTATTCCAACCGTCAAACAAATCTAATGATGAAGTATAGCGCACATATATTCGGTGCCTCCCTTAGCGAATGTGCTTAAATAATAATAATAGACGTGACTTGTCGACCTACCGCTATAAAGTCTTATACCTGAGTAGCTTTCTGGCTAACGCTTGAAAACTAATGTCAGACAAATAAAGGGATCGGCATGTTTATTGAAATGATAATTCCACGACTCTTGGTTGGGAGTAAAGACTAGTATTAGGCTCTAATGAGTTAAATTAAGAGGACAGTTGGTCATGTGTTCCCATTATGTTTATTTTTTCTAGGACTGTTTTCTCTATTTTAATTTTGGAAAAAAGGCCTTCCAGATAGTATAAACAGAAGGCATTAAGAATTTACCGAACTGATGGAACGAGTACATGTTGAAAGAAGCACTATAAAGTATTATTTGAACCGCGTGCATTGCTTGTCGTCTATAACAGATATCGAAGAGAAACGTAAGTTCTGCTAAGGTTACGTAAGATTACAAATTGTATTTTTCATCAAAATTCCAATTATTTAAGGTTCATCCAATTTTTTGCCAAATCGCTTTTATATATTCATTAATTACTAGCTTTAAAGTGTGTTCAAAATTAAAGACTAGTCACCTAGATACTTAACAAAGCAACCGTTTTTTACAAATGTTTCTTCACGTGGGTTGTGTGGCAATGAGCTCGGCTGAGCAAAAACGTACCGAGAATATAAGCTGATTGTGATAGACAAAATGAACGCTGAAAAGGACATAGCGATGGTGCCACTCGTCAAACATGATATCTGTAAATGAATTTTACGTAAGGTCAGCATTGTTGCTAACTTTTATGTAGTAAAAAGCGAGAGTTGTTGGTTGCTAGTGTCAGTATTGACATTTGTTCAATTAGGTGTTCAGATTTGTTTGGGTAGGTTTTCGCATGTACTATCTGCACTATTTATATTTTCGCATCTATGACAAATAGTTTTTGGTTTCAAGCACTTCTTTTATATACTTTTAGACAACTTTATACTAAATACGTTTTTGGCATTTCAAAAAGATGGTTGGTCATTAGCACTACATCCACAAGTATGCAGGTGTTTAGAAGAATTAATTACAGATGCAAACGTGGAGTGTATTGCTCTCTTGCTAAAAATTCTATCCAAAGGTTGGGGTCGATTAATCAATAGCAAGTTTGCATATCATTTGCTTCACAAGGCATTGTCTAAATGTCAAACAGCTGAATATAACGCCGACGAATTGATTGTTGATCATCTACAAAGTTTCTGTACTCATATGAAAGAAAATCTGTCAGTCTATATAACCAATTCTCATGCAACGCATACATGTCGCATTTATCCACAAATTTTAGCTGGAGTTCGTTTAGAAAAGGACAAAAAAACAAGTATACTGCTAACTTAATAATATCATTTTTCAAAGATACTTATAAGTCAGCTGTTCAACTTGTCACACCGTACGATGAAAATTATATTCAGTCACTTGATGAGTTGTGTAAAGAGTTCTTATTTACGAAAGCATTGAAAAGTAGGTTTTTTAGTGTTAAAACCATATAATAATTAATACTATTTAGATCATGTGGTCAACGAACACCTTTGTCCATTTATTCAAGTATTATTGCTTGTCGCATCAGCTCGTCTTCCTGATGTATTTACAAAAAAGTTTAAAAAGGTTATGAAGTATTCTGGTTTGTTTAGTTTGAATTTACAAGAAGACGATTTGATTACAAGGTTAGTAAAACACTTATTATTTTTATTCCTATCAACTAGGGAGGATTGGTTCCGTCTTTTCCAAAATTTCCATTGAAACAGTAGTAAATAGCTTTGTTATCCATTTCTTTTTCCGGTCTTTTGAAGACTATCGTTTTGCCAGGTAGTAGTAATAGTTATCTGGTGTATGCAGGATGTATTATGACTTTTAAAGTGGTGTTCGTCCACGGCATTGTTACGTCCTCTACGTGATTACGGCAGAATACGATATACAACTAACGGCTATCGAACGTGTAGAACCCTACAGTCGCAAATCAGGACATGAAAGAAGCAAAGGAAGTGACTATTGGGTAAGGATCAAAAATGCATGGAAAAACGCGGGTATTTATAGTTATTAGCGTTTGCTATAACATCATTATAGTTTAGATAATCCGCAATTAAGCAAGTTATGCCGTCGTCCAATCGTTGCATGCCACGTTGATATTTTAGAAATCCCCACCAAGTCCTGATTGGGTGCAATCTTTTCGGCTCCTTTAAAACCTCTGGAGGCTTCGTCGTGCTTCTAAAAAGCCGTATCAACCAACATAACTAAATAGATTGATTGCGAATTCTGAAACCTTGCTTTCAGTGTTAGACAGATGGTATTTCCTGTAGATTTTCAGTAGTATTTTCAATAAATTTACAGCCAACACTAATAACTTTTTATTATTAATCACGGCGACTATAGCAACTCATGTGCAATTGAGTTTGTTCTCATTTAACTCCGTTAAGCCCTTTTGTTAACTTATTTAGCGGACAAAGTCATCCGTACGACAACAACAACTTATTGTACATTTATTATTATTGTGCTTGTATGAAATATGTATACTTGAACATTGTTTACCGTTTACACATATATTCATTCTGCTAGCTTTGTTATTATATATATATATATATACATGTACATTTCTACTCTACACACTCTCGGTTCGCTGACTCATTCATTTGCCTCCCTGCTTTATGGTCTGAGTTATCTGCTAATAAAACTGTAGTGGCTTCTTCTCTTTGCCTTCTGATTTCAAACACCGTTGAGGATTATATGATAACGGTTACGAGCGTGATTGTTTAACGAAACACAGGCACTACACCACCACTGATCACAATTCTCTTAGTTAGTAAAGTGCGATTTCAGACTGCGAACATTAACATTTGGTACATTGACAAAGATATAACGTACACTTTTCTTTTAACGGAATTGTACTTACATGCAAGTTTATGGCCTAGTGAATAAAATGTTCAACATTCAACTACTTGTTTACGGGTCTAAACTCCGCCCCACTTTTTTCACTGTAGAAAGTGAGGTAGTATTACTTATCTGGTAGTCTGAGGATATTCTATGTAATGGCAGTCCTAGGGATACAGTTGTGATGTTCGAACGTATTTCACGTTAGATTACTGGTATCACTCTTTTTTTACCCATTTCAGATATCTTGGTTCTTATGCTCACCCAGTTGCCACCTACTTCGCTGAACTTCTCGTGGAGGTTATGCCAGGGGCTAATTTTGCAAAATTTTTAAACACTCATATTTTATCAGAGTGTTCACTCTCTTTGGATAGCAATGATTCAAATCCTGTAACAGTAGCAGATATTCTTATGTCAAATCAAACAGCTAGTCGTGTGTTACGTGCGGTCATTCGACGTTTAGTAAAACCAGTTGATATTAAAAACTTTTTCACTGTTATTCAGTCGTGCAAATGTAATAAATTTGGGATACGTAGCATTATTCCCAATAAACAGCATGGTATATTAACAGATTTGGCTGATTTATGTATCAGGCATCCTTCTGAAGAATTTCAACGCACATTCCTACGAGTAAACATTTTATATATTATATATATCAACATTTGTATTATTAGTGAAATAGCTTGTATTTTCAAATATCCTAATCCATTTCAAGCCTATATTGTTCTTTAGATTATTATGTATATACAACTTGTGCTAATAAAATGTGGCAACTTGGATCAATGCACATATGTGCCTGGTCCTACGTTGTAGCTGACTGACTGACTGAGTAGAGACTAAGTAAAGACCAACCGTATTCGAACTAAGATATCGGACTTATCCATGAAGTTAATAACTTTCAAACTACAGTTTCCTATGACTAGTGGGCATGATCATTATCTTCAATTAAAAACCGTAGGTGATAATATAATACACATGCATTCATAGTTTGTCCTACAGTTAATTTCAAGCTTTAATACTATTCCAAATATTCTGTTTCTCGAGTTCATTAATTCTTTCAGAGTTAAATTTCCTATGTCCAAATGCTTACTACCATTATTTCTTATCTTATAGATTGACTCTTTTTGTACTTATAAGAAATGTGACAATTTCAATATACATTCTTCTTCAAATTGGCTGACTTATCTATAATGTTATGTAGCAAATCATTTATTCATATCAACTACATTATTGTTTATCATTCCATCAATTAGAATTTGTAATTTCTTCATTAAATAAGAAAGAAAGATTAGTGCAGCGAAGAGTTCTCTTTTCGGCGAATTCATTTTCAAAGCTGTACAATCGCAAATATATATACTTATTTTTACAGGGTGATAATAATACTGATAATAAACTTATGATATACATGGTGACGGTGAGGTTAAATAAACAAAGGTATTAGAAAAAAATTTTTTTTTAAAAAAAACAAGGAAAGTTTGATAGTTAATGGCTTAGATATTCATCGGGTAAGAGTAGCTCAGCATGATAAAATAACATAAAATGTTGAAACAGAGATGAAATGTAATCGGAATGATCGTTGAAATAAAAACAAACAAAACCGGTTGGGGGTACAAGATTTGAAGGGAAGATGGAAGGTGAAGCAGGTGGCTGTAAAAGAACAAGAGTAATGAGAAAGAGAAAAAAATTTTAATACCTTAAGACCACGGTAAAAGAAGAGGTTGTACCAGTCTCTTTTGTACACATAATTCTGGTTTTTCAAAATGTATGGCTATTGCCTCGGCAATGCAAAGGAGATGTAGTCTAATTGTCTTAGGAAGGTTTCTACTTACCTTGTAGATGACTTTGAACGCAGAGTCTGTCTTGATTGAGTGACCTGTGTTCACAAGGTGTTCGATTATAGAACTTCTTATTGAGCCGCTGCCTCCTCTTCTAGCCACGTCGGACAATGTTCTTGAATTCTTTTGGATAAAGTACGCATCGAACGACCTATATACCTAGCTCCACAAGAGCAGGTAAATTGGTAAATGCATTTAATTTCTTCATTGTAAGGACTTGCCATTGATTGCAACTCCTCTATACAATATCATTTTATTGTTTAATATTCATCACTTATTCAAATAATCCCAATTTCCTAATTCTTATCATACTTGTTCAGAGTCATTCAATTTATGATAACTTTCTGTGTGTTTGTTTTATTTCTTTTCCAAAACAAAACTGTTGAAAAGATCAATGGTTATCCTTTTCCAAAAAATTGTTTATGTGACTTGACTAACGCTTTTGAGAAAAGAAAACTATTTCTAGGATAAATAAATCAGTTTAATATAGTGGTCGTTTTCACGAACCAAAGATTTTATAATGATAATCTGCACGCCTGAAGGTCATAGGTCCGACTCCTGCGTGTGGGATTATCGATACGCACTGTTGAGAAATCTCGTGCTAAGACGAAAAACTCATCCACTACTTCTAGGTTTCAAATCCCGACCATAGCTACTACCTTGACGTGGTGGTCGGGCTTGCCTATCGTAATGAAGCAACCGAGCTATATTGGCTGGAACATATGTTCCTGTAGGTTCTACCATGCCAGGCAGGTCGATTGGAGAACGGTAAGACTAAAAGTAGCAACTCAAGGTCTGAGGGCGAAGTCGTACTGCTGACTGTAGAGGGGTGTGACAGCAGTAAGGTGTTTCCCTCGGACAACCAGCATCTGCAGCGATGCTTCGTTCTCACAAGGAAGGAAAGGGTTAGAAAAGGTCGACCCTAGAAATATCACTCCTCACCTTACCTCACGGACTTCGTCTCCGGCGGTAATGCCCTTTGAAGAACGGAGCTATCACGTTAGAAACTTCCCATAGAAAGGTCATGCGCGACCGACCTCAAGTAGTTGTCCCTTGGGCTCTGCAGTCACGCTCCCAGGTCGTGAGGAACAACACTAATCCAACTTCCTTTCCAGGTCCCTCAAGATATAACCCTTCCACGGTGTGATACTGGGAAGTGATATCAGCCCTCATACCTGTAATAACACACGAGGTTTCAAATGATGGTCTAATTTAGATTGGTTCATGATTCCAATGAAAAATATAATGTTATTATTCAATTATTTCATCATTAAAACTCATCTGGTCATCGAATTTCAGTTATCATCATTATTGTTGTTTATTTATTTATTCAATACTTCTAGATGCTACCGTCAATTTTCGGTTTTACTGAAAAACATTCTTCTTCAAAATCTAGAGAAGATTTATTCATTCGTTGTCTTGTTGGAATGATAACTCTCAGTGAATTAAATGAACACATCACCAATCAGTCCGTACAAGAAAAGGATAATAATGATGATAATCAATACTTTGACAATAAAGAAGATCTAGTCAATCCAGTCACTGTACCAGGATGTTTATTTGTTGAAGTTTATTTAAATTCACTTATGCTCATCCTATTAAAGTGATTAACAGTTTATTAAGTCAATCCCCTAAACGTTTAATTGCATGGGCACAACATTATCAATTATCAAGAGTTTTAGAAGCGCTAATTTTATCAGAATCTGTAATTAGTGAGCTTAAAATTACATTATTGAAGTCTCTAATGGTTAGTTGATGTTATTTTGCTTTGAACGAAAATATATTGTAGGCGAGACTATAATTTATGAGCAAAGCAATCAGAGGTATAAGATAACAGATCTTAGATTTTTGGCGCGAATTTCATTCATCCATTTGGTCAAATAGCGTTTTGGTATTATAGCTCATGTCAGTTCTTGATGAAAACCTTAAGTCTGATTCCTAAATTTAACCATCAGCTGTAAATCATAATTCTAATTCCTCACACTGGTTTATAACCCTCATTTTGGTCCTAGTTATTAGGTGGACACTCTCAAGGTCAGTTTAGCGTTGCTTAAATGTCGTCCATAAATTATAGTCTCACCATTATATCTTGTTCTTTTCATATAATAACTGTGTTTTAACTTATGACTTTCTTATGCTAACAAATTTCATTCGGATATAGCTGGGAGCATCTAGTGGTGAAGTTCAGGACGTATATTTTATGTTGTTTCTAATTATTATCGAGTACAACTCAATAATGAGTATATGTTGATTTAGTCAATTTTGAGCTACATTCTCCTAGCCGCGGTTATTTCGGAAAAAATATATTGTAAAGAAGATTTATTATGACAAAGATTTTCGTACAAACGATGAGTTGTAGCTACCAGTAGAATCCAGGACAAACGTTTGATCTTATTTGGGACTCGTCAGATGGATGTCTTTGCATTCCGGAGTTGATGTTTACTCCAAGACTGGAACCCAAAATTTTCTAATCGAACAGTCCAGAATTTCAACCAAACACAGTTTATGAGACAAAACTAATGTTCATATCAGTCAACCAGTTCTCATACTGGATATAGGTGGGCCTGTAAAAATATACATTAGTCCCAGTTTTCATACCATACTAGCACAGCAAGATGCATGGTAAAGGACTCGAGATAACTGGATTTCAGTAAGAAAAGCTAAACGTTGAGAATATGGTTCTGTGTGAACGTATGCATGAAAGAATACTGAATGTCAATATCTACGGGAAGAAATAAAGTGGATCCATTCACTCCACTAACCGACTTTAAGCCATGTTAATCAAAGTCTACAATACCAGTCATGTGTTTATGTATTTAAATAAAGTGACCAACTTACTATTACGTAACAAATGTTTACCCAAGCATAAAAGTGTTGGTCATTAAGTAACCACAAACACTTCACTACTTTCATTTTATTTCGGACGTATTTTTTCTCATCTTCTATTTTGATAATGAACACTTTTTATAATTAGCTATTTCTTTAATTTGAGTACATGGTTTTCTTTCCAACACATAGAACGGCTTCTCTGTTTTGGCATGCCATCCTAGCGGTAGTCATGTGGTTGAAGCATTATGGACGGCTACAAATACCTTACCTCAACCGATAATTTATAAAGAATTAATGGCAGAACAATTAACTAATGCTAATAACCACCTTCATTCACATAAATATGGACATTTTATTTATAAGAAGTTATCCTTAGAACTATATAAGTGTAATAAAACTCTCTGGTTAACTCGTAATAAATCAACTCAAGCAATCAATAATAAACGACTTGCTGATGGAAAATCACAAAGTAAGTTTGTTTATTCACTAAATCGATTGTTTGAAACATTTTCACAAACTATTGTGAAACTCTGAGACGCCAAATAGTTTAATTTCGTTTTTGTTTAGAATCCTTGATTAAGTTTATTTATTTATTTAGACATATAAACATTGGTACATGGAGGCACCAAATATAGATGCGCCACATAAATCATTCGATTTGTGTGAAGGCTGGGATACTGCTCGGGTGCCCAAACCGAAACAGGTGGATTTCTTAGAGGGCCACACCCGGAGCCTTTGACCTAAAAGTCTGATGTACAAGGCAGTGGAGCAACTTCTGGAGATGCAGTCCCATGGTAGCCGGTGGCCAAAAATTGGTTTATACGCCATTTATTCCTTCAGGATACTGGAGCCCATGTGCATCATTGGTTTGTAATCAGGCTTTTCAACACCCCTAGATGAATCCTCCGTGTCCACTAACCCTGTTAAAGCGCCGGACATTCGCTTTTCGTCCTCTCAATTTCGTAAACAACAGTAATGTCGCGAGAAGGCAATGAATAGGACTTCCCTGTTAGAGGCTGTATACTCTTGACCGTGTGAGAGCATTTCGAGAAGAGGGAGGGTCCACCCCACTCTCGGTCATTTGAAGGCATCACGCAAAATGTGCTTTAATCATCAATGTTTAAGAAAAAAAAGAGAAATAACCTGTATTCTTTTTAATTCTTTTGTTGTAGATATTAAACGACCACGAAAATCACTCAAATAGCTTTTGTACATTCAATGTGTTGATATAATGATTATTATCATTATTGTATAAATATGAAAATGAAAGTTGTATCATTTCTTTTGATAAAATATTGAGTTTTGTTTTTAAAGATTTAAATATTTTTTCCCGATATCAAACAAATAGATATTTAGTAGATGAAATTGAAGTGGTAACTTTTAGTAGTCAGGGTGTCCGACTGTTTTTGTTGTTGTTGTTGTTGTTGTTAACCATTAAATCACAGATTGAAATCCGGCTTCATCTATTTCAGTTTGAGCAACTGGATAATATCGTTACCTTTTATGGTGACAGTGTTGCTCATTACCTAATATCTGGTGAATGAGGTAATTATTATGTATGGCAAAGGAGAAACCGAAAATATCAATATCAATAGTAATGAGAACTGTATAAACATAGTGAATTTGCAAATGTGATCGGAGAATGAATAATACATGATAATAATAAGTTCAAAATTTAGGGAGGAAGATAAAAATTAAATATATCTGTTCTACTGGCGTTATCTTTGAACTATCTCATGTGGACATGGAGAGTCCACCTAGGGAGTTGGAAAACCCTGATTCCAAACCAATGGTGCACATGGGCTCCAGTATCCTGATGGAACAAACGGCGTATGAACCAATCGTTGGTCACCGGCTACCATGGCACTGCATCTCCTTACGATGCTCCACTGCCTTGTGGGTTAGACCTTCAGGTCGAAGGCTCCGGGTGTGGCCCCCTAGTACAACCACCTGTTTCGGTCTGGGCACTCGAGCAGTATCACAACCCACACACGTATCGAATGAGATTTGTGTGGCGCATATGTATTTGGTACCTCTTTGTACCAATATCTATGTGTAAAAATAAATAAATAATAAATATCTGTACTCAGAAATTATAATCAGCCTGCAGATTACAGTTAGCAACTTCTCATATTACTAAATGAGTCAGTGACTTAATGAATGTAAACTATCATATGTCTTGATCTGATCAGTATATTTTTCAATCATATAGATATATAGTTTCACAACTGATTCCGTACTACAATTACTTGTTTGTCATCTATTCACAACTGCAGTATTAATTACATGGTTTTATCACATATGAACAGTACTTTGAAAATACTTTTGAACAAATACTAGCAACTTACATAAATGTGCCTTGCAAGGCTGTTTCATATCTACAAAGTAACACAGATCGAATCAAAAAGGTATATGGTGTTAGCAGTTCTCTTTTGAATAGGTATCAACCTGAAGTAATAACGTATACTTTGTGGGATTGCTTTTTATGCTTTCAGTCTGAAACGGGCTTTAATACTTATGGACAGTATATATATATATATATGTATTGTTCACACGTCAACTTCGATGATAGTAGACGTACGTTCATTTCAAAAGAGATATGTGAAATGGTTGAATAAGTGTATTCGCGTAATTCGATGTTCATTTATGTATGCATTTTAATACATAAATCTGTGTAAAACTCATGTATTAATCATTGCAATAAGCACGAAAATAAGGGACAAAGTTAAAAGGATTCTTTAACCTATAAAACACATGGGTTGTGAACTAATATTGTTTCAAAACGCTTATCCAATCTAACAAGTCTTCTTTGATTAAATTGTTCTTAAAAGAAATGATTTAACTCTGAAGCATAGTATCAAGACTGCTTGACAATAATCTGAAGAAGACATTGGGTGTTCATGAAATGAATTTGTAACGAGAATCAATATCCTGTGTTGTTAAAGTGAAATCTCTTTACTATTTTAAAATAATCCCTCCATATGTCGGGATTGAACTAATTAAATCGATCATATTGGAAAAATGGCATTCTGGACTCATTGCTCAACAACAAAATAAAAACTAAATGATAAGAAACTCAATAAAGCACTGATTCTCACATCCAGTCTCCCGCTTACTTTTTGCTAATTTCGCTTTTCTAAAAGCGGCCAATAGACAGGAACTTCATTTGTGCAAATTAAAGCACAGACACAAAACTAAAACCCTTTCAATATCCAGTTTTCAACAAACATATTTTCATTGAAATTGTCAACCGATAAATGTTAGACCATCACTGAAAACACAGGACAGTCGTTTCGTCCTACTACAGGACTTCTTAATAGTACACATCCATGACCACGCAGGAGTCGAACCCAGTACCTTCGGTCCCGCTTGTGAACGCTTAACATCTAGACAAAGAGCTGACGTCTATCGGTGTTAATATCTAACTCCGACCAAGCCACAATCTTGCGCGACCATTTTCTATTGTCTTTGTTCAGTAACTGCTTCACAACCGACGCGTTTGAACTCCGCTGGTTTCAGCTTCTCATTTAAACCTCGGGAATTTCCTTTCAAAGCTAGTGACTTGTGAGAGACATCGAAAATCGTGGATGTGCACTGCTGTAGTCCCATACTAGAACTTTCTGCGTTCCAAATGATGGTCTAGCATTGGTCGATTCATGATTTCAATGAATCTTAACAATCTCCACAAACCTATGTTGAAAACGGATTTCCAACTACCATAACGATCAAGTGAATTATTATGTATGAGAGATATACTCGAAAACGTTTACAGTGTACATAACAGCACTACATTATAGTTATTCATTCAATTGATTTGCGAATACAACAACAAATCTTACTAAAAAAGGAACAGGAGATGCAAACCCTAATTGAACGATTAAATGCGGAAAAAAGACAGTAGTCACTAAGGAACGATAACACTGAAAAAAAATTCAAGATGGATAGTGGCTAGTAGTGGAATCCAGTTTGATGCGCGTTTCGTCCTATTCGGGACTCGTCAATCCGATGTACCTGCATCCCAGAGTTAGTGTCCAATGTGGAAATCGAACTCGGTACCATTCGCTTCAAACAACATCACGTTATCCACTTAGTTACCGATTCCCAATAGCCACTTACTTGTGCGATAATAGGGTGAAATTTAAATCCACTTGGTATTTTTTACTTGAATCTTCGCACATATGCCAATAAGAGACGTATCAATTACAGTCCTAAACATTAATGAGAAGATTCTAGTAAACAATACCAAATGGATGAAATAATAATTTAGATATGCATTATCGTTACACTAAAGAGTTCGTTTTGTTATATCCTATCAGAGACTAATTTACGAGTAACTTCTAAGAACTATTAGTGGACTAATATTATCTATATATTCTTATGATAAAACTATTCAGTAACTATTATTATTAATGGCTTTATTCAATATTATATTTCGGGTACAATATAGAATTCTCAGCACAGAGTATTTCAACAAGTTACTTACGTAAAAAACAGTAACAAAAACAAAAAAAGGTTTTAAAAAAACCCGAAAAACTGTACAACTTTTAAATTAGAGACATGTTAGGAACGCAGGTTATTGACTAGGTTAAATCTAACAACCTGTTCGTCACAGAGTATATTTACTAGGTAACGTATTATGTTACTTTTATACTGTTTCTTACGTGCATGAATTTTAATGTAATAACGTCTGGTTCTACAGGGAAGGTATACAAGGAGAAAGATATGAGTGAAGGGGATGGTAAGTATCTGATAACATAACGCCTGCCAGAAGTTTGCATGATTTTAGATGTCTATCCACAACCATATTAAATATGACCTCGAAGGATTCACCACACACCTTGCTAACTGCCTTCAGCACTCTTCGCAATACAGCAAAGTCTTTACTCAATAGCCCGGGAAAGAATAATAGGTAATATGCAAGAATTGACAAATTGTGAGAGTAAATGATGAGTAATCCCAAAAGCATGTAATCTCTTTATGTAGTAAGCCAGACGGAAAACCTTCGATAACAATAAAACGTGAGAAGACCAAGAAAGACTAGAGGAAAAGTTAACACCAAGATAATTGACCTTCGACACTGTGTTTATCAAAGAGTCTCCAACGCCACAAGCATTATGGGATCTCAAAATGGTGTTAAGACTCCGTTCATGTCTCATGCTAAAGTTAACAGCTTGACATTTAGACGGATTAAGTATGAGACCATTACCAACAGACCAACAGTCAATACGAGACAAAAACTCATTTATTTATATGGGATGTAAAGAGGAAGAGATAGGCATACATACAGTGAGATCATCCGCATATTTCACAAGTGTTTTCTGTGGAAGACGGTAGATGATGGAGAAAAAAAGAGAAAAGATTATGTACATTTATATTCAATATATTATAAGCTTCATTTTGACCTATAGATTATTATAATACGATTTACTGTTCTTAAGTGATGTCCAGTTTATTGATTACTGTCTCCCACGTTCACTGCTACTTTTTGGTTTGATCATGTGTAAATGTTATTTCCGATTTTATTTTGTAATATGGTCTGTTTGGCTGGTAATATAAACCCGGTATGTATGAAATAAATGATTTGCATAGTAGAAGCTGTAATTGGTGTCCTTTGGACTTAGTTGTGAATGAGTTTAGACGAACAAAAGACCAGTTGAACATCATTGGTTTAGTATACAGTACAAGAGTGAATAAGTCATATTTCGATTGGCGAATCAAATTACATGATAACAAACTGGATAGTCAAACTTAAAGCAATGATGGATAGTGGCTAGCAGTGCGATCCAGTTTGACACGCGTTTCGTCCTATTTGGGACTCGTCACAGCTGGATGTACCTGCATCTCAGAGAGTTGATGTTCACTCTGGGACTCAAACCCCGGTACCATTCACTTCTAACGCCATCACGTTATCCACTCAGCTCTACTGATCAATCGCAGTCATAAACCACCTCAATAGGAAGATACAAGCTAAAACAATATCAAGTGGGCAAACTTAAAGTTACAATACTTTTCATCAATTCAAAAAAATTCTTTTTTATTATTCATTTATAAATGTAATAACAATTTCATTTTTCATAAAAAAAAAGAAACAGTCTAAAATTACAAAAACAAAATAATGCTGTTCTTAACAAAATAATAATGATTATCAATGGAAGACAGTTTAATCATCGGAAATATATGTATACGAAGGAGATTGAATTGTACACGTACAAACGCACACACACACACACACGTAGACGTAGACATACTCTGAGCGTGAAGTGATGCTTGTTTGCTTTTTACAAGTAATAATAATAATAGTGTCTATAGTAATTGGATCATTTAAAAGTAGGATTTCTTTTTTCTCTGTTAAGATCAAATTGGTAGAAGATTTCATGATGTGGAATAAGGTAACATATAAATTAGGCATAGGATGATAAAGTCATATCCGTGTACATTAATATATATCTATATAATTTGTGAAGTAATAATAATCACAACTGCAGGATTAAAAGAAGCGCGAATAAGATATTCATTGAATGAGTTTAAAATGATTAACACCATATAACGCTATTTAGTATGATGATTATGAACAATTCACATTGAATCCGATGAACTTGTCTTATTATGATTTAAATCTGAAGAGAATAATGTAATCAATCGACTTGGTCGAGATTCTAATATATTATTTAATTTTGTATTTGAATTAGAAAGTGAACCCCAACGTAGATTTGTTAAACTTGATATAGGAATTGGTAATCTATGCCGATGAGATTTTGGACTATATGATCGATAATTATTATAATTTATTTTAAAAGAATCTTCTTTATATTCTTGAGCAAATTGTTCTTTCATTAACTGTAATTCATTGAATAAAATAAAAGATCATTTAAAATGAGATAAGGAATTTCAGTACATATATATATATATATGGAGCATTTATTTTGTCAAATGACTCAGTGGTCTATAAGTTAAGTGTTCGCATGCGAGACCGATAGCTCCTGGGTTCGAATCTCGTAAGGCAGGATTGTAGATGAGCACTACTGAGGAATCCTATAATAGGACGAGACGGCCGTTATTTATTAAATAATTCAGTGAATATTTGTACAGAATACTTCCACAAAATGATGTAACCTTACTGTTATTTGGTCTATGTTGGGATCGTTTGAGAATTTCTTAAAAATGGAGGAAGATAATTTGTTCAGTTCTCATACAGATCTAGGAAACGACAGATCGTATCATATTTTGATTAGATAATTAAAGAGTTTATCACTAATTTTGTAAGATTGATAAGTGGTCTTGAGTGCTGTTGGAAGTATGAGGGCGCTTATCACTAACTTCTGGTCTTAGTCATGTTGGTAGATACAAACTACTTGGTTGGGGTCCGCGTCACTATCGCAACCAATCGTTGGAGACTCTGGGTGACATGGTTCAGAATCGACCACAATGGAGTAGATGTATACACTCTTTGTCTTCCTTAAACTATGAGATAAAGATTACTTCATATCTTTCTTTCTACCAGCTAATTCTTTATTCCTGTCCTTATATACAATCTTTCTTTTACACATTATCACCACTGAATTAACTACTTCGATGAATTCGGTGTTCACCTTGTTGAGATAAGGCAACTTGGATCGATGCACATATGTGCCTGGTCCTACGTTGTATCTGACTGACTGACTGAAAACTTCGCGACGAATTAACTCGATTGGTCATGGATTTTCATTAGAACTTCGAGAATTACCTCTTGAAGCTAGTCATTAGTGAGCATATGATAATTATCAGTATAGGGTTGTGAAGATTGTTCAGTTTTGATTAAGATCTGTTGGTGCTTCCAGGTTTTCGATGGTGATCGTTTCACGATCTTAATCAAAACTCAACAATCTCCACAAGCCTATACTGAGGATTAAGCATGTATTACTAGATTGTGGTTAAATATTTTAGAATACAACCTGACATAAATTACATTTGCTGGAAACAAATTTATGTGCCCAAACTTGAGCCAGTATCAAGATGCCCAAATAACAACAGTAGATGCACGGGGTTTTAAACTTACAAAAATCAAGCCAAATTATATATTCTCTTCATATTGAAAAATAGACACAAATTAATCATAAAAAAAAAAATAATAAAGCACTTACAGCTTTTATTCGAGGTAAAGATTCTGAATAGATACGCATTTCATTTTGATGTCGATTATCTAATTCTTGTAAACGTTTAGTCTCTTGATCAATTAAAGCATTACGTTTCTCAATGGTACTTTGTTCTAATTCTTGTAATCGAAAATGTATACTCTGTTCTAATTCATCCGTTTGAGCTTTATGTTTCGATTCTAACAATTCCAATTCTTCATTCATACGCTTTTGAGCTTCATTCAACTTAAATTATATTATAAAGAAAAAGAAAAGATTACATACTAAAATCATTGTATTACTTATAAGAAGATGATAACAGAGTAAGTAATTGTTATAACTTGTGGCTTGTGTTCCCGTGCGAGCAGTCTAGAGTATATATCGGTCCTGCTTTCTGCCTAGCCCAGTCACTTAAATCCAAAAAAACCAATTTCAGCCTCTGCAATATCAATTATGTATTTCAAATATACTGGGTTTATATACCAACCAGACAGACCACACCGTACCATCAAATAGGAAACAACATTTCTACAAGAATTAGCCAAATGTGGCTGTGAATGAGGGAGGTATTAATTAATAGACAGGGCATAATTCACCAATGATAAATCGTATAATAATAGTTCATAGGTCAAAACAAATCTCATATTAAGAGGAATATGAATAGCTTAGTTATTTAATAATTATACGATAAAAAATACACGCGGTATGGCAACCTGGACCGATGCACATATGTGCCATACGCATAGTATTGGCCCATAAATGGATCCCAAAAGTTACCATTCATTATGCTTATCGGGACATAACAGTAATCTAGAGTATAATAGTGTTAATAAGAGCTCAGATTTTTTAATCTTCGTCATAGTATGTTAGTTCTTTCTTTAGAAGATAACGTCGATAACATTTTTATGGTTCATATTTCCGTTATGAACTTTGGTGCCATCTGATTGGTTGTTAACAATCTTAGTTTGCTAACATAGTCATGTGCACCAAAATTGTTTCATGTTATTGTATAAACAGAGCCAATCCATTTCGATGTTTAACTTTTGTTCGGAATATAAAGCTATTCTGAAAGTGCCATCTTCTCTCTCAATAATGTGTACATTTTTAATGTTGGAGCGATATTGTGTATTAGTTACTTTTCTAACGAATATGTCACAGAAGTCGTTCATAAATAGCAATTATCGCAAGGCTCGATTGGAAACCTTAATCGTAATCATCTTTATTGAAACTGAGACAGCGGCAACACGGGTAGGATTATGTAAATGAACATGGATAAGGTTATGACTTTATATTTTACATAATTAGGAAGAGAAGTAACAACTGTTATATCCCAAGAAGATCAAATTATGGGTAACCTCTGGGACCTATTTATAGACTTATTGTAAATACATACTTATGGTATAACTGTTTATGAACTAAATCATATGTGTATTCATATTCCTTTTGCTATAAGCTTCCATATGATCTATGGGCTACAATTATACAATTTACTATTCTTAAGTAATTCCCAATCCATTAGTTGCAGTCTCTCACAATCATATCTACTTTTGGGCTTGAACTTGTATAATTATTTTTATTTTGTGGTGTATTGAGGTCTGTATGTCTGAAATACATTATTACTACAGTGGATGCTGGAATTCTGTTCTCGACTAAAATGGACTGGGTTGGGCGAGAAGAACCAATAAGGACTTGGAGTTGACTAAGCTGCTCGTACTGGTTAACGCACCATTGGTTTGGCACAGCGCCAAGGTCGTATAGGTCGGTGTTCTAACTGGCAATTAAGTCACGAAATAACTAACGCAAAAGTCATAACAACAACCAGTAAGCTCATATTAAGAAACAGATAAATTATAGTAATTATACATGGAATCAATCCCACCTATAGTAACGTTTGTATTACAGAGAAAACAAATGAATTTTAAAAACAGCTGACTTTTTCATATACTCCCGTTTGTTTTTTTAAACATTTGTCCTTGAATCGCTTGGACATCGAACCAGAGAACTTAAGCACCATGAAGGTTATATATGGACAGGACTAGCAGAAGTCTATGTCTGTGAGTGCCTTTGGGCCGAACCGTCGAAACATTTGTGTATTTGAATAACTACGTCATTTATTGGCAGCCCAGATGGCCCAGTGTTTACGTCTCTGACTGTGAAGCTGGGTGACACGAGATCGAATCCGTTAGGGAGCACCAGTTTCCTCAAGATTGCAGGCACACCCTGCTGATGAGTGCCCCCGAATGCCCTGGTATGGCTGAGAGTGGGGAGAGTCGGCCCTCCCTCTCGAAATGCTCTCACATGGCCACGCGTATAAAGCCTCTGCCAGTGAAGTCCTACTCACTGTATTCCCGCGGCATTACTGTTGCTTACGAAATTGAGAGGACGGAAAGCAAATTTCCGGCGCTTTAACAAAGTTGGTGGACACGAAGGATCCAGCTAGGGGAGTTGGAAAACCTTCACTTCAAACCAATGGTGTACATGGGCTCCAGTATCCTGGTAGAACAAATGGAGTGTAAACCAATCGTTGGTCACCGACTACCATGGAATGCATCTCCTTAAGTTGCTCCACCGCCTTGTGGATCAGACTTTTAAATCAAAGGCTCCGGTGTGGCCCCCTAAGAAATCCACCTGTTTCGGTCTGGGCACCCATGTAGTATCATAGCCCTCATACAAATCAAATGAAACTTGTGTAGCGCATATGTATTTGGTGCCTCTTTGTACCAATGTGTTCAAATAAAATAAAAATACGTCATTTATCGGCATGGCAAATAAGATCAACGTACGTATAGAAAAGCCATAACGAGTTACGCCTATCTAGGCTATCTCTGACGTCTCCAATCGAGTATACGACGCGAAAAGAAGTTTTGTTTTATGCTTGATAAAAACTACTACAATTTTAGGTTTTTGATGGCTGATTTGTTTAATTTCGAAGGAAAATTCTTCCAAAGGATGTTTAATTTCTAATACAGACTAATGAAAATTCAACTTGTAATTTGAGTACACAAACATGATACAAATCAAATCGTTCCTAGATTATTAGAAGAATAAGTAACTAGTTATTTTATTGGCGAGAAAAGCATCTTATCGATTGCTGATTACTTACTTGGATGGTATTGATTCTAGATTGGCGTTGTAATGTCAGAATACTACGTTTGTTAACAGACTTCATAGATTTTATACAATTTTTTCTCTCTATGGAATGAATTGCTTGAAGTTTACTTCGTTCCATGTTGATTGTCTAAAATGAAAATGGGCAGAATAAAAAAAACAACTAAATATTGTTACATAGATGTTCATTCTGTGGTTACACAGTAAAATGAAATACAACTGGATAATATCAGTAAACGATATTGGTCTAGTAAGTGATTGGTGAAAATGATCTTGAAGAACTGTCTTAGATCTATATGCAAAATTTACATCTCTGTGGGTATGTCAATTTCTGTTTCAGTGGTATTCTAATGAACGAGAACATATATGGGGACAACCAACATAATTTCAATACAAAATTGCAGGGTTGTTTCGTCAAATGTTAAGACTATATGTTCAATATTTCATTTTCAAATCATTTATCAATTGTCTCAAACTTCATCATCCCTACATTATCATAAAAATTACTCGCTGTACCCGTTCGTTTCTATTCAATCTTCCCAACCTTCTGCTGCCTCTTCTGATTAATATTTATATACTACTTATATTAATATAAGTAGCATAAGTCATAGTAATAATATTCCAAACATGAATATACAATTACTTATAACGGCGACTGAAGTTTATAAATAACACTCCCCAATTGTTATAAGATTCATTAAAACTAGTCTTCTTCCATGGTTAAATGTCTAAAAGCGATTTTCCTGTAGACAATAATGAAATGATTTCTCACCTATCAATCTTCCATTCTAAGAGTACATTGTTTCAATGGGGAACTATCACTAATCATATAGGTTCATACTAAAATGGCTTAAACAATGATATTTATTAAGACTAATAAAATTGAATAAAATCCAAGCAATCAACCATTATTTCTATAGATATACAATCTAAATTGTTATTATGTTGAAATAAACATAAAGCAAAAGCGAACTTCTCAAATGATCCTATTCGAAGTTACTGTTTATATATTTGTCTTCAGTATGATGTTGTGGAGATTGTCGAATTTCATTGAAATTATTATTGTTAAATATTTAAACCAATATATATATAGTAGTCCTCAAATGACCTAGTACGACTGAGGGGTAAGGAGAGTTCGTTTTCTCTCTCTAGATGATCTCATATGACCACGTGTATACAATCACAAACACGGAAGTCATACTCATTACCTTATCATACCACATGTGTTCTTTAGGAAGTTTACAGGACAAAAACGAATTTCCGGTGATTTAACCGCATTAATGGATGAGGAGGATTTACAGAGGAAAGTTGGAAAACCCTCATTCTAAACCAATGGTACACATAGGCTCTAGGATCATGAAGGAACAAATGGCGTATAAACCCATTGTTGGTCACCGGCTACCACCTGCTTCGGTTTGAGCAGCCGGACAGTATTCCAACCCTCACACAAATCGAATGACGAAGTATGGTGCATATATTATCTGGTGCCTCCTTGTATTCATGTTTATGTGTTTAAATAAACTTGTACTACTCCTCTACTTGTAATTTTCTGTTTGATACATAAATGATTGTTGTGTGTTTTACCTTGTCTAAATTATTGTTAATTTATTTCGGAGCTCTTCCATTCATCCCCATATTGTAATTTCTTAATTCTACTGATAATTGATCGGGATTTCGCTCTATATTATACTGTATGAATGATTCAAAAATTCGAATTGCATCGTTGAAAATTGATTTGTTGTGTATTCTGGTTGCCGAGTGAGTGAATATTTGGAACTGCATTCTGTACTAATAGATATTTAGTTTTACTCTCGGCTACTATCTCACATTTAACGTGTCGTTGATTAGATGAAGGTCATTAATACTAGATAGACAGTTAGACGAGCCAGTCAACACTCAGATTAGATCAATACAATTGCTCTCCTCTCTTACAGTTCGAGATCACGGGCATGAATAACTAAACAAGGAAATCTGTTTATTTTCATCGACAGATCAAAAAGATTCCCTGTTTATTAGTTTGATTATTCGACAATCAAACAATAGTTCACAAATTAGAACCAACTGTTCACCTACTTTGAAATGTCCAATGTGATAAATATTAGTAACTACATCCCACCAAAAGCCTAGCACTTGGTACGATCTCTGTAATTGATTGATAAAATGTTTATAAAATTAATTTACCTCTTGAGTTATATTGACAGATTTACAGAACCAATGTAGATGGATCTAAGTGATCCTTTTATTGTATTACACACACACACGCATCTCTCATCATCTGTCTATAATAATTGTCTCAAAAATATATATTCAAAAGCACTCTCGTATTTTACTTGTTATACTCTAAGGCGAATTAAGTTGATAAATATATATGAAGCGAAGTAGGATATCTATCCACTTTATCAGCACCATTATCATTCGATCACTATGGTGTCAGATAAAGAGGTTATTAAAAACATACCTGTTTCAATTCCGTTAATTCAAGTTCCGATCGACCAGTTAATTGTTCACGTTTAATCATAAATAAGTCTAGTTGACGATTTCTATCCAACTGATGTTTCATAGATAAAAAACGATGTTCTGTTCTCCATTTATCTTCTTCAAAATCTTCACAATTGATTGTTTGTAAGGCAGATGGTTGTGTTATTAAAAAGAATTAAAAAACGGTATGGTGCATTAAAATAAGGAACATGATAAAAGCTGAACACGGTATCTACAAAACATCTGAAGAATATCAACGTTAAACATATATTGAATGGTTAGTCGGTATACTGTCCCACTTTAATGTTACAGTATGATTAAGAATAGAGGGTTCTTTATTTGTTCTTTTCAAGACCCTGAAGTATCTAGACCACCTTTTAAGAACGTTCTGTTCAATGCCTGTAAGAAGATTTTATTTCCCTGGTATACTATCATCATTAATGGTTGTATAAACATAATATTATGAATCCCAAAAAAGAGAACTCAATACCAAATGTGAATATATCGTACCCAAGGACTGGCATTAATTCATGAAGTCAATAGCTATTGGATTGAGCTGTATCAAGATGAAGAAACCTTTCGGGTAAACCCATGAGAAAAACGTAGCTTCTAGCTGGAAACTTTAGGTGACATGGCTTTTGATTGATATTAACATATAAACATATATATCCCTTCAAATGAAACCGGATAACACGTAGTTCATAGGCTTATAGATTGATTATCCATATAACGTTGACATTTTCTCTATATGTATGTTAACCTGGTACCCAATCAATTTTTTTCAATAACAGACAATAAAATTGAAATTAATTGTTGATTGACTTGTAATATCACATCAACCAGTCCTCAGTGCTTATCATATTCTGTAGGATAATACTGAGTAGTATAGAATAGTACCTTTTTTAATGTCTGGAATATAATATAGTTTTATTACTTACTTTTTAATCAGGATGAGTTAAAAGGTCGTTTAGTGGTTGGCTCTAAGCTGATGAGCATTTAACTAATGCAAAGACTGTTATTATGTGGTTGAAGTTAGTTGCTAGAATATTCTGCCTGATTTAGGTTTAGTGCCACTCATTAGCAAAGTGTACATCAAATCTCTTGGGCAACTGATAGTCTTTAATAGATTCGATTGAAATTTACCTAAACATAAATTCTGAGGCGTTATCATTAAACTACTCAAGTGAAGATTTTCCACCTTTATGACTTAGATATTTATATTAACTGATCACTGAGTAGTGGTTGATATCATGTTTGTCTAGTTCTAAATCCTGATCAAATTACAATGGAATTCTAGTGAAAAGCCATGACCAGTGGAGTTCAACCAGGTCTGTTAGACATTAACACCGTTGGACGCTGCCGGCCGGCTCAGTGGTCTACAGGTTAGGCGTTCGTGTGCGAGATCGATAGGTCCTAGGTTAGAATCTCGCGGGGCAGGATCGTAGATGCCCACGCTAAAGATTCCCATACTAGGACGAGTTGATCCGTCCAGTACTTCCATGATGGTCTTAGCTTTAATTGACTTATGAATTCAACTATTAAATTAAAATGTGACCACCAGTAAGGCTTAGTAACATGTTCCCTCTAATTAAAGATATATACATTTGTTTACTTAGAAAAAAAAAAAACTTACTTAATCTTAATGTATGAATTTCATTTAAATATTCTGAATGTATTAAATTTCGACGTTTATTATATTCATTATGTAAATCATAAATACGACTATTCATACGTGATTCTTGATTTTCACGAAACAATGTTAAACGTTGTGAAACAAGTGAATTATTATTATTATTGTCATTATTATTAGTGGAATGATTTGATTTTAATGAAGTTAATGATGAATTTGATTTAATATCATAATTAGATGATTGAATATGATCAAATTTATTAAGATCACGTTTAGCAGCTTTACGCATAGCACGATCATATGTATCAATTTCACTTTTTAAACGATCTTTAAATGTACGCTCTTCTTTAGACTAGAATAAATGAAATAAAATAATAATACTAAAATAATAATACGATTAAAAAAGAAACTGAATTTCATTAAGGTATACGAGTGTCGTAGCAGCCTCTGTATCAGTAAGCCTCAACATACACAAAAGAAAAAGGCAAAACACGAAGAACACCAACTCAATCACACTTGATGGAGAAACTCTGGAACAAGTTAAATCTTACAGCATCATCGATCAACAAGGAGAATCTGATGCAAAAATAAAGGCAAGCATTAGCAAAACAAGGACAGCATTCTTACAGTTGAAGAATATATGGAACTCAAAACAACTGTTTGTCAATCAATATCTAAGTAACAATCTTCAACATGAACATCAATACAACCTATTGTATGGAGCTAAAACTTCCAGAACTATTACAACCATCATCAAAAAAGTACACGTCTTTACAAACAATTGTCTACGCATGATACTCAACGTCCGTTGGCCAGAAATCATCAGTAACAGCCTACTATAGGAGAGAACAAACCAGAATCCAGATTAAGAGGGAATTAGGAAAAGATGCTAAAAGTACATAGAATATACACTGTGGATATCACCGAACTGAATCACGAGGCAAGCGCTAACTTGGAATCCGGAGGGGAAACAGAGAAAGGGAAGGCCAAAGAACACACCGCGTCAGGAATCGGAAGCAGATATCAAAAGGACAGATAGCAATTGGAAAGGATGGTTCAAGACAGAGTTGAATAGAAAATGCTGATGGGCGGTCTATGCTCCTCCACGAGGGGTAACAGTGTAAGTAAAAAAAAAGTTTTTAAGAGAACTAAAAAATTGATTCTGAGCTATGTGATTGAAGACGATGGACAGGAAGTATTGGACTTAGATCAGTATTTATTAACAAACCATATAATTAATATCCAAGAAAATGATCTTTTCTATATAAGATAAAAACACAATTTCACCTTCATTAGAAATGAGATATTTACATTACCTGATCATTTGTAATAATAAGTAGTTACAACGAAACTCAGTCAGTCAGTAACAACGTAGAACTTCGTACGTAATTACATCAGTTCGAGTTGACATACTACATTACAAGACACACACACACACACACACACAATTGTCGATTCAAATCCCATAATGGTAGAGGCAGTAAACGTATAAACAGTAATCGGGAATATTAGTGTTCGAAGACGCTATTCAAGGAGCATAATCCAGTGAAATCAATTTCGAAAGAGAAAAATAACAGGGACATGAAGAATTCAGAAGATTAGAATTTCACAGAACACAAAGAGTGGATGCACCTGTGCCATTGCAAACCATTTTCAGCCATGTCATTCAAGGTCTCTAACCATCGGTTGCTATCGTCTCGCGGATCCCCACAACCAGATAGTTTACACATACCAGCATCACTCAGTTCACTTGTCGATCACTTCATAGGATTCCTGCCATGTTTTCGTTTGGCAGCTCCCAGCTTTCTCCTAACCTACTCCTACACCATAGAACATCACAAGTCCGGCAGTTGGTGGTTGGGCATACGTAACACATACCCAGCCATCCCAGCCAACTCATGGAGTTTAACTACTTCACCAATTCATTTGCCATTCTTACCTAATACCCGTTTCCGAACAACTACATTACTTACTTAGTGGTCCCAGGATAAACAAACAATGTTTCGAGCACACCTATGATCGAATACTAGTAACCTACGTATATCCTGTACTCTTACCGACCATGTTTCACTGCCATAAAGTAGGACGGAACGAACTGCTGCGCAGAAAACCCGTCCTTTAGTTGGTAGACGGATATTTCGCTTACGCCATAAGTGACGCAAGTTGGCAAACTAGGTCGAAACTAAGGATTAAAAATTCAAGGTATAAAGAACTACAAAGCATTTAATTCTTATTACAAATCATAAGTATTTGTAGGGATAAAAGATAAGTATATGATAATTTACTGGATTAGTTATCATCTCTTTATTAATAGCGCATTAAATATGTAGTTGTATTAAGATGGAAATGAATTATTCGACCACCACAGACTAATGGATACGATCCTGAAGCCATAAGTTATCCTCCTTAGCATTTTTTAACTATTCAATTTTAACAACTTTTTATCAGAATGGGTTTTGTGGATATTATAGTAATTTCAATAGTTCAAATCGTGAGAGTCAATTGAAGCTAGACCACCATTGGAAACCTGGAAACACTGGACGGCCGTTTCGTCCCATTGTGCGACTCCTCAGCAGTGCGCATCCACGATTTCGCCCTATCAGTCTCGCGCGCGAGCGCTTAACCACTAGATCACTGAGCCGGCATCCAAAGGTGTTAACGTCTAACTCCAACTATTTTTTTATTACAAACTACCAAATGTAAACTTACAGTTTCTGATCGAATACGTTTCATTTCCACTTCGAATTCTTTATCTAATCGTTCCATTTGTAATTTATAATTACGTATAACAATTTCCATTTTATGATCATAGGTTTTTGTCAATGTCTATACATAGAATAAATAAAATAAAATTCAATGAAAAATAGTTCAATATATCATAAACATTTAATGTGAATTCTGGAGTTTTTTGTGTGTAAGGTGGTGATATGACTACATGGTATAGAAGAAACAATTCAGAATTCCTAGTCCATCAAGACTTCCTCGTTGAAGTTGTACAGTAGTATGAGGACTTTGCCGTACATGGCTTCGATTAGAAGTCAATGACGGTTTTGTTATAGATTCTCTACATAGTTCTATATAAACATAAAATGAAACCTTTCAAATGAAAGACACCTCTCTTGTTTGGTTTCTTACTGAGAATATATCTTTTAACAAACACTATGCTAATTTATCACTTCATGATTACCTAGTTTTCGGTAGTTACCGGACTTCATCGATCAAGTTGCAGTATAAATTACTATAAGGAATTGGAAGCCCTGTATACTTAGTTTGGGGGTAATAGAAATTATATGAATCAATTGTGATTAGCTTTCAAAAATCTCTAAATCAGATGCATCGATAAAGGTATTACCGTACAAGAAATGTTACTCCTTGCTTATATGACAATCAAACGACACCTACTTATTGCACATGTTTCCGAAAAATTTCAGAGGAAGAAGCGATGGAATTGGATAGGACACACATTGAGGAAAGCACCCAACTATGTCACAAGACATGGAATCCTTAAGGCCAAAGGAGAACAGGAAGACCAAAGAACACATTACTTCGAGTAATGGAGACAGACATGAGAAGAATGGAAAACAACTGGATAGAACTAGAAAGGAAGGCCCAGGACAGAGTGGGTTGGAGAATGTTGATCGGCTGTCTATGCTTCACTGGAAGTAACAGGCATAAGTAACTGACTGATAAATTCGCTTTATTAAAAAGTTGGATCCCTATTAACAAACCATTGTCACATCATAGTGATCATTATCTCCAGGCTTCATAAAAGTATTTGAACAGTTCACATTTCAATCAATTCCCATTGATCGACAACAGATATTCAATGCAATTAAGATTATATCCTCAACTTCTCTGTATCTAAATTTTTGTACATACAGGAAATAGTGTGAACATTTTACAGTTGAGATGATGAAGAAGATTTTTAGCTCACGTGAATGATTTCGATGGAGTGTTGTACTCTGAGCTGGGTGATTTGGTCGTGTACGACCATCAAAAACACTTTACAGTACAAAGACGGCTATAGATAGTTCGTGTTGAAAGATAACAAAATTTGCTTGATTTTTAATTTTGATGATATATTCATAATGAACAATTATAATATCTTATATAACTAGTTGGATGAGACTATAATTTATGGATGACATTTGAGCGACACTAAATTGACCTTGAGAGTGTCCATCTGATAAATAGGACCAAATAAATGTGATTAATTAGTGTGAGGAATAAGAATTATGATTTACAGTTGATGGTTAAGGTTAGGAATTAGATTTAGGGTTTCCCATCACGAACTGACATGAGTTATAATGCCAAAACTCTATTTACCCAAATGGATGAATGAACTCCGCGCCAAAATCCAAGACCATGTTATCATACACGTGATTGGTTGGTCCATAAATTTTAGTCTCGCCATTAGTCATATCTGTTTTGAAGCGGCATATGATATTCTAGTTCGAATACTGTCGTTAAATATCAACTTTAAAATACACAATTTGATTAACACGATTCACATACACATGCAACTCAGAAAATTATATGCGGTGTATGTATGAGCGAAATGTAGATCAAAAGTTTGGAGAAATAAAACATACACGATCCCACTCGCGGGACTCGAACCCAAGGCCTTCGGTCTCGCGCGCGAACGCTTAACCTATTGGACCACTGAGCCGGCATCCAATAGTCAAGTAGGTTGAGCGTTTGCGCGCGAGATCGAAGGCCCTGCGTTGGAATCCCGCGAGCGGGATCATGGTGCGCACTGCTGAGGAGTCCTGCAATAGGACGAAACGGCTGCCAGTGCTTCCAGGTTTCCAAAGGTTGTCTAACATCAATCGATTCATGATCTCAATCAAAACTTAATAATCTCCACAACCCCTATACTAGTAAATTCAACATAATTCGCATCGTTTGATGGTTACAGAATTGATGTAATAGGTTGTAAGAAATAGTCTTTTCATTATAAAATGAGTCTTCTTCAAGTTTCTCTAAAATTCTCAGATAAAATCGATGATTTATAGAGACGACTAAGACAGAACTAACATTAGCTAGAAAATAATTACTGTATTATATACCACGAATAGGCTAAAGTTCGGAATATTGAATTTTGGATTTTGATCTGAAAGAATTTTTTTTACAAAGCAAAAACGTAAACTACTTGCATTCAGCTGGATATGAGATGAAAGATGTGAACTCTACAGTCCTCAAACTGAATTACTGTAAAATAACTCCCTTAATTTATATCATCTGAGCACTATCATCAACTCAGAAAAATAATTTAATGAGAAGAAAAATGATAAAACTAAAACATTGAGAAATACAAAATTCATGAAACAAAAACATAACCACAAAAAGAAATCATTAAAGTGTCACTTAAAAACACACACCCAGTAAAATTTGTGTTCCAAGAGTTAGAATAGAATATTTCATACAAGAAGATGATGAAATGCTTTAGACGAATTCCTTGAAAACTGAATAAAATACATCATCCGATTCAAAATTTAATGTATTAATAGTATACTATTCCATTTCAATCTTATGCGATGTTACAAGTATACAATGTCAAGAAATACCAAAACACAAATGAAGTCTATTACTCAGTTATTACTTTAGATAATATAAGTCTAAAATAACAAAATTATCTTAAAAATCAGGTCATTATTAAATGATAACAATCCTCAATAATATTATCGTAATTGATTGAAGTTAAGTGTACATTATTGAATATCAATTTATTGAACTCATCTCCAACTTTCATCATAGTTTCAATTCTTGATAAAAAAAAATTCAGTGTGTACTACTCATACACTCATTTCAACGATTAACTAAATCACTACGTAAGTTTATGACAAGTTTCATTGAAATTTTTTTAATGACCATATAGTCAGTTAGTAGAAACGTAGAACTTCGTACGTAACTACATCAGTTCGAGTTGACATACCACATTTATTTATTTATTTATTTGAACACATGAATATTGGTACAAGAGAGTGCCAATATATATGCGCCGCACAAAACAATGAGAATTCGAAGAGAAAGAGAAAAAAAAACTAAGGAGCGCAAAAGAAAAAGAGAACAATAACGAAGAGATTGGCGTAAGGTAGTGTGGTAGTAATCAGGGAACGGAAAGGTACAATCGGAAGAAATCTTTCAGGTAAGGGAGACACAACCACTTTTTATGAAGAAAGTAAAAGAAGGTTACAGCAGGATCACCACTGGCTTCTATTCTGAGCCATATCTGATAACGTCTCTAGCCACTGTGTAGCACCATCTCTCGAACCCCAGCTAGGGAGTCATGAAGGACCAACAGAAACCAGCCCTTTGCAGCTTTCTTTCATACCACGACACCATGTCATACACTGACCACCTATCCGCTTCTTCCAACCAGTCCCAGAGTCGGCAAATAATGCACGACGTGGAATTCTCTAGGACGACATTCGGAGAACATGTCCAAGCCACCGAAGTCGGTGTTTCAAGATGGTGACATCAATTGCATTATCATCTCTGTACCCGAACACACGATGCCGAACCTCTGCATTACTGACATGGTGTTGCCACTGAATGTCAGCAATCCTTCGGAGACAGCGATGATCGAACACAGAGAGTCATCTAACGTCCTCAACTCGGAGAGACCAGGTTTCACAAGCATAGAGCAAAACTGCTCTCACTGACGCGTTGTAGATCCGACTTTTTACAGCCAGACTAACATCACGAAGGCGCCAAAGGTGGCCCAGATTGGCATAAGCCGCTCTGGCTTTCACTATACGTGCATTGATCTCATAACTCACACCCCCACCAGCACTTATGCAGCTACCCAGATACACGAACTTCTCGACTACGTCTATCTGCTCACCATCCAGGGTGAGTACAGGATCGGAATCCTGCCAGTCTTGTAGAAGTACTTTGCACTTTGAAGGTGCATACCACATTACCACACACATACACACACAATTGTCGATTCAAATCCCATAATGGTAGAGGCAGTAAACGTATAAACAGAATCGGGAATATTAGTGTTCGAAGACGCTATTCAAGGAGCATAATCCAGTGAAATCAATTTCGAAAGAAAAAATAACAGGGACATGAAGAATTCAGAAGATTAGAATTTCACAGAACACAAAGAGTGGATGCACCTGTGCCATTGCAAACCATTTTCAGCCATGTCATTCAAGGTCTCTAACCATCGGTTGCTATCGTCTCGCGAATCCCCACAACCAGATAGTCTACACCTACCAACATCACTCAGTTCACTTGTCGATCACTTCATAGATTTCTGCCATGTTTTCGTTTGGCAGCTCCCACCTTTCTCCTAACCTACTCCTACACCATAGAACATCACAAGTCCAGGCAGTTGGTGGTTGGGCATACGTAATACATGCCCCAGACATCTCAACTCAGTGGTCCCAGGATATACGATGTATGTTTCGAAGCACACCTATGATCGAATACTAGTAACCTACGTATATCCTGTACTCTTACCGACCATGTTTCATTGCCACAAAGTAGGACGGAACGAACTGCTGCGCAGAAATCCCGTCCCATAGTTGGTAGACGGATATCTTACTGGCGTCATAAGTAACGCAAGTTGGCAAAAGCTAGTCGGGCCTTCGAATAACAAAATTAAATGACAGTAAATGATGAGATTGTATTTTATTTTATTGATTCCAATAAATTATAACTCCTATACAAAACACGATTTTTTTTTGTATTTAGATAAAAAGTTGAAAAAAATAAAAGAAAAATGACAAACATTTTGTAGAATAATAATAATAATAACAAAAGAAGAAGAAAGAATTCATTCAGTTTCAAGTCTTTTCATCAGTTGTATAAATAAATAAATAAACAATATACAACAACAACAACCTGAAATGATAAAGAAAAACAAACAAAGACAGTTTGATAGATATAAAATTAATGAAAGAAAAAAAGTATTTCTATACGTACTTCTACTGATGGAACTGTCTTCTTATCTAGTACCTTTTCATATGTAAGTTTAGTTGCTGGATTTTTGTGGTTAACTCCGCCTGTAGCTCTTCTAGAGTTACTGCCGGTCCCAAGCACGGATAATGGAGGAGGGTTGGGTATGCGGTTAGCGACACAATCCCGTAGAAAACTAACTCGCTAAAAAAAAGCTTACCAGAAAAAATAATTCAAACCATTTTAACTCTGCCCTGAGAGTTAGAAGGTCTTCATTTAGAAGAACGATGATGCCTCATTGTGAAAGCCGATACTCCTTCTGACAACTAGAGCAACCATTTATTTATTCGAGATACTGACAAACTCAATGAATTCAAGATAGCTCTCAACAACAGGTTTCAAGCCTTACAAGATCTACTGAAAGAAGAAGAAACTAGTATGGAGGACAACTGGAAAGGCATCAAGGAAGCATTAACTTCAACGTGTCAAGAGGTTCTGGGCCCAAAGAAGCATCATCATAAGGAATGGATCTCTACAGAAACACTGGACAAGATCAAAGAAAGTAAGAACAAGAAGACAGCAATTAACAACAGTCGAGCACGAGCAGAGAAAGTACAAGCACAAGCTCAGTACATAGAAGCAAACAATCAAGTGAAGAGGAGCATTAGAGCCGACAAGAAGAAATACGTGGAAGAACTAGCAACGACGGCAGAAAAAGCTGCTAGAGAAGGAAATATGAAACAGCTTCACGATACAATGAAGAAACTAGCAGGGAAATACAGTAAACCAAAGAGACCGGCCAAAGACAAAGAAGGCAGGCCAATCACTGAAATTCAACAACAGCGGAACAGATGGGTAGAATACTTCGAGGAACTCCTGAATAGGCCGGCTCCAATGAATCCACCGGACATCGAAGCAGCACACACAGATCTTCCTATAGATGTCAACCCACCAACGACGAAAGAAATTAGAATGACCGTCAGACAAATCAAGAGCGGGAAAGCAGCAGGACCCGACAACATACCAGCTGAAGCACTGAAGCCAGACATCGAAGCAACCACAAGCATGCTTCACCTCCTATTCAAAAAAATTTGGGAGGAGGAACAAGTGCCGATGGACTGGAAAGAAGGACACCTCGTCAAGATTCCAAAGAAAGGAGATCTGAGCAAATGTGAGAACTGCAGAGGCATTACATTACTGTCAATACCAGGGAAAGTCTTCAACAGAGTGTTGCTGAACCGGATGAAGGATGCAGTAGACGCCCAACTTCGAGATCAACAAGCTGGATTCCGTAAGGATCGGTCGTGCACAGACCAAATTGCAATACTACGGATCATCGTCGAACAATCAGTTGAGTGGAACTCGTCACTGTACATCAATTTCATTGATTATGAAAAGGCATTTGACAATGTGGATAGGAGGCCGTTATGGAAACGTCTTCGACAATACAGAGTTCCTGAGATGATTGTCAATATTATACGGAACTCATGCGACGGACCACAGTGTAAGGTCGTGCATGGAGGACAGCTGACAGACGCATTCCAAGTAGGGACCGGAGTCAAACAAGGCTGTCTACTCTCTCTCTTCCTCTTTCTTCTGGTGGTTCACGACGGCAGGCAAGCCCGACCACCATGTCAAGGTATTAGCAACGGTTGAAGCAATAGAGGATATAAGAAGTATGATGCATATTATCACAAATAATAAAGATATCATCAACATACTTGGAGAAATATATTTTTATTCTGTGTTTCATGTTTTCATCTGCTTTTCCTAAGTTAACTATAAAAATATTGGCCATTACATGATGTAATCTTTTATTTTATAATGATCAATGGCAATTATAATTTTCTAGCGACCAGTGGAGTTCAATCAGGTCTGTTGTGAGATAGTAACTCACTGAAGACAATGGTGGATATGTCGCTTAATTTCATGGATTAGTTGAAGTTAGACATTAACGACGTTGGATACCAGATTAGTGACATAGTGGTTAGGCGCTCACGCTCAAGACTGATAAGTCCTAGGTTCGGATCTCGCGAGGCGGGATCGTGGATGCGCACTGCTGAAGAGTCCCATGCTAGGACAAAACGGCCGTCCAGTGCTTCCAGGTTTCCATGGTGGCCTATCTTCAATTGACTCATGACTTTAATTTCACTGTTCTCTCTTTCAAAAAGTAAATACCATGTTAATCGTTGGCAAGTTTCTATCCTATTCCATCTTTTTCTTAAATATAATTTTCACTTTTGTTTCAAGTATTCATTTCAACCTCATTAGCTAATCCATATCATACATTTCTTATGCATTTTAAGCTATTTCCAGTCTATGTAATATGTCGCAACACAATGATCACAACTCAGTTAGTTACATAATTAATAGGGTCATACACACAATAAACTGAATTAGGAAAGAAACAAAAAAATGGGTAGAGGAAATTGGATAAGTTAGTTTATGAAAGGATAAGAGCTTATGCATCATGGATCGAGTGTAACGCGACCTCGACCTTTTTTTTAAGATTGTGACAAAATATCATGTCTTGTTTTGTTTGTTTTTCATTCAACTAATCAAGTTAGTATAAGACAATCACATTTGCAACAACAACAACAACAAATAGATGTAACAAGTGATATGAATTACAATATAATCGAACCAATTACGTAACTGACTAGAATATAATTAGACAAAAAAATGGGTAAATTTTTTCATGTTAAGAAGATGAGTTGAAATTTTTAAAAAAAAGAGGACGACAGGTTTACAAAACCAAAACAAACAAACTATCCTGGTTACTCGAGAAATGTAAAGTTCAGAAGTTTATTCGGTTGTATATAAAAGATATAATTTAAATGGTTAAGATCATGCATCAGTTGAAGCTAGATCACCATGGAAAACCTGGAAGCACTGGACGGCCGTTTCACTCTACTGTGGGACTCCTCAGCAGTGCGCATCCACGACCTCGCCCCGTGCGAGATTCGAACCCAGGACCTACCGATATTAATCAACATATGCTCACTAGTGACTGGCTTCACGAGGTATATCCTGGAGTTCTAGTGAGAAGCCGTGATCAGTGGAGTACAACCAGGTCTTTCGTGAGATAGTAACTCACTGAAGACAATGGCGGATATGTCGCTCAATTTCGTGGATTAGTTGAAGTTAGACATTAACACCGCTGGACGCCGGCTCAGTGGTCTAGTGGTTAAGTGCTCGCGCGCGAAACCAGTAGGTCCTGGGTTCGAATGTCGCAAGAGGCGAGGTCGTGATGCGCACTGTTGAGGAGTCCCACAGTAGGACGAAGCGGCCGTCCAATGCTTCCAGGTTTTCCATGGTGGTCTAGCTCCAACTGACTCATGATCTTAACCACTGAAATTACTATAATACCCACCAAATCCATCTGATATAAAGGATATAAGGTGAATATCTAGATTCAATGAAAAGGGGAAATAGTTACATTAGAGATACATCGAACAGTACAAAGAGAAGTTTATAAGTGCGTATTCAGAATGTCAATTGAAGAGTCACTGTTAGTATAAAAAATTTCTGAGCAAGTTGCCCTAAAAAAGCCTGTTTTTAATTTCAAGATTCGTTAATATCTAAATTATGACTAATAGTAGAACCGATCAAATGCAAACTATATTCACAATGAGGGAAAACTGAAAACCACTGGCTAACGCCTTTATACTCACTGAAGAAGATTGTGATTATTTGAGTTCATTAGTTTAATAAATAATGAGTTGGGATTCGAAATAATAGGTACTGGTATGAAATTTCAGTATGGACATCAACATAGTGATCCATGTACATGTAGGTGATATGTGCCAAGCAAGAAAAAATATCAGTCTTGGACTATATAACTAGTCACATTTCAAATAATTAAAGTGTCTATAAAAAAAACACAAATACCCAACAACCATTGGTTTAACTTTATACGAACTGAATTCGATTCATGAAGTGTATCATCTTAAGCACGTGAATAATTACACTAGACACATATTTGTCAATATTTGCATTATACAACCTCATTGAGTATAAAAAATCTTCAAACATTAAAATGATCTCTATGAAACAACAACAACAAAAGGGGAGGGAAAAAAAGCATGAATATCTATCCTTAACAAACCAAAAGAAGACTTACTGAAAATTCTGCATTCATTTTATTCTCTAATATATCAATTTGTTGTTGTGCACGTTCATTCAATTCACGTGTTTGATGTGCTTCTTGTTTTGGCTAATATTTTGAATGCACGTAAAGCTGCTTTACGTTTAATTCTAATAGAAATTTTTTGTTTTGTTTAGAAAAAGAGAAAGTAGAAAATTAGTCTAATAAAATGTCTTTTTTTTAATCTTATAAAGTAATTTCAAAACGGTAACTGACTTATTAGGGCACATGATTTTTAATAATACAATAAAATGACATAGATACTAGCTCCCCCACCCACCCACATAAAAATGTGTGATTGATTTAAAAAGAAGATAAATTAATCGACATTTGACACCCAGGTAATATGGGAGAATAACAATAACTAGGATAATAGGCTACCGAAATTGATCAATTCACTTCTAGTTCATCAGTACTTGTAATCATTTATCAAGGCCACATCTTAATCACATTCGGGAGGATCTACCTGAGTAGTTTATCTAATGCTGAAATAATTGAATCATGTCATCGATTCTGTAACACGCAGCAAACAAAAGACATTTAGATCCTTATACAATCAAGTCAAAAACACTGAGAAATGTATTTTTTAAACTACTTTGAAGTGTGCAATTTTGGGTTATCCATATATATATAAACATTGGTACAAGGAGCCACCAAATACATATGCCCACACAAATCATTCGATAGCGTGAAAGCTGGAATACGCCCCGTGCACCCAAACCGAAGCAGGATTTCATATTTATATAAAATTGTGTAGCTTTAAAATGAACTCTTATAAATAGATTTCTTTGATGACTTGATAGGCATACATTTGAACCGAATACATATATTACTTTATGTTTTTAGCAGACAAGGAGGATTCAACTGTTACAAAGTGATAAAAAAAATGAACAAAAATAGGTTAGTATCAAGTATATAGAAGTTTATTAGGGCCAGTAAACTGAGTAAAATTGAGTCAGTGTTGTGAATTTTAAGCCGACAACATCTAATAACCTCAATAAATTATCCTGAAAGTCGCACAGACTTCACTAGGAAATAATATATCTTCACATTAGGAAAAAAAGCTTCATATTGACTTATATTCTATCAGTGTTTCAATGGTTATTTGTTAATTTCTGAATTTTGTATTATTTCTCTCTTTACAAAAATTTTTGTTTACCCTTAATTTATCAAATATGCGTTTATTTTTTAAATTTGTGTTAAATTGTTCGTGTTAATCAGATTCACGGTGAGACTATAATTTATGGAAGATCTTTGAGCGACGCTAAACTGACCTTGAATGTTAGCCTAATAACTAGGACCAAATGAAGGTTGGATGCCGACCGCCTCAGTGGTCTAGAGGTTAAACGTTCACGTGCGAGAAGCGACAGGTCCTGGGTTAGAATCTCACGGGGCAGGATCGTGAGTGTGCACTGCTGATGAGTCCCACAGTGGGACGAAACCGTCGTCCAGTGCTTCCAGTTTTTCTATGGTAGTCTAGTTTCAATTGACTTATGAATTCTGTTATTAAATGAATATAAAATATTTAACCGACGATATATTTGTATTGTTTATGATTACAAGACTTTAGTCTCAAGAACAATTCACTCTAGAGATAAAATGGTGAGATTATAATTTAGGGAAGACCTTTGAGCGACGCTCCAGATAATGCAGGTGTTTATTAACAGTTGCCTACGCAAAATACTTCGGATCCGTTGACCGGACACAATTAGCAACAGCCTACTGTGGGAAAGAACTAACCAGATACCAGCGAAGGAAGAAATCAGGAAGAAGCGCAGGAAGTGGATAGGACACACATTGAGGAAAGCACCCAACTGCGTCACATGACAAGCCCTCACATGGAATCCTCAAGGCCAAAAGGAAAAGAGGAAGACCAAAGAACACATTATGCCGGGAAATGGAGATAGACATGAGGAAAATGAACAAGAATTGGATGGAACTAGAAGAGAAGGCCTAGGACAGAGTGGGTTGGAGAATGCTGGTCGTTGGCCTATGCTCCATTTGGAGTAACAGGCGTAAGTAAGTGAGTAAGTTTGAGCGACGCTAGTGTGACCTTGAAACTGTCTACCTAATAACTAGGACCAAATGAAAACTAGAAACGAGTGTGAGGAATTAGAATTATGATTTACAGTTGATGGTTAAGGTTAGGAATTAGACTTAAGGTTTTCATGACGAACTGACATTGGCTATAATGCCAAAACTCTATTTAGCCAAATGAATGATTGGACTTCGCGCTAAAATTCAAGGCCTGTTATCCTATACCTGATTGGTTTGTCCATAATCTATAGTCTCGCCAATATTGACAAGCTGATACAGCAACGTTAGAACTTGTAAATTATTAGTAATTGACAGATAAATATTTTATAGACGATGAGGGGATAGAATTTGACATTTTTCACAAAATGTAATAATAATAATAATAATCAAAACGATGACTTACTGTTCGTCTTCACAGAACCTTTTATCTTCTAAATTAGTGTTTACAATGCGTTTCGATGTTGTAGTAATCGTTTGACCATCAATAACAAATCTACGCGTTCGAGTTCTTGTACGATAAGCACTATTTTGACGTTTAAGCTGAAATTCATAATAAATAAATGGATGAGTACAAGATAGCCAACATGATGTAATTAAAACAAGGACATAAACCCAAGACGTTGTATCGTAATGTACTAAGACAGAATTATCAGTATTATGACACATAATTGAATTTTATAATTAACATCACGAAATGATTTTAATTAGACAACTATTAAACAACCAAAAAAGTATCAAACACTTGTCTCGCCTAGTATGCGACTTCTTAGTTGTACCGACTCACGACCTCAACAGAGATGGAGCCCAAAACATTCAACTTCCATTGCGAAAGATTAATCTTTGGAACACAGCTGGAAACTAATGGTTCACATGTCTGACTTCAATTAATTCTACTTCACATTGAAGATGGTTGAACCTTACTAGTTAAGGCTTCTAACTAAATTAATCTGTGATGTAGACCATAAAACACAAATTGATTATTTACCTTGCATCCTAAAAAACTAGACAACCACATATGATTTTGTAAACACCAAAGAATAATAACGATAACAAATTAAGATAGAGTTAAACCATAATAATCCAGTACATGAAATAATTTCACAATGGTATGATGGTATGGAATTATGAATATTGAAAATAAGGAAGGAAAAAGATGTTGCAACGAGCAAAGACTTGTGTATATTCCATCGCTTGTCGTCTGTTCAACATGGGGGCAAAAGAATGCCGTCATAGGATGTCCACCAAAATATGTGCCCAAACACGCAAGACAATATATGAGGTTAACTAGTAGAACTAATTTGAAAACTTATCCGGAAACGATCGAACTGATACACCCATACTTTGTCTCATGATAGCTTTTAAATTGGAAACTAATTGGATCGATACCAGTTTATACACAGAAGCAAATTATTTACAGAGCTCCGAAATATACATCATGTTTTAGGTATGAGGACTAATGAATAACGTGTCTTTAAATAACCTATCCTTATTTTGTAAATATCCTCTTTTCTTTTGTGTCGGCCTGATCATGACAGTAAATAAGTTTTCACTCTGTAATCATATTTAATATACCTATAGTGGAGCGGTGTTTAGTGGTTAAGGCGTTCAACTTTCACCTACTGGCCCCTGAATGCCCTGTTATAACTGAGGGTGGCCACGCGTATATAGCCACAACCACAGAAGTCGTACCACAAATGTTCTTTACGAAGTTTACAGGACAAAAAGCGAATGTCCGGTGATTTAACCGTGTTCATGGATATGGAAAATCTACAGAGGAAAGTAGGAAAACCCTGATTACAAACCAATGGTGCATATAAGCACCAGGGTCATAAGGGAAAAATGGCGTATAAAACTAATGTTGGTCATCGGTTACCATGAGACTTCATCTCCTAATGTTGTTCTACTGCCTCATGGAATAGACCACTAAGTCAAAGGTTCAGGGAATAGCCCTATAGGTGAACCACCTGCTTCCGTTTTGGCGCCCGGACAGTATCCCAGCGCTCACACATATCATTCGACTTATGCATGTATTTGGCACTTTCATGTACCAATGTTTATGTGTTTAAATAAATGTTAAAATAAGTAAATATCAGCAATTAAGTCCCATCCTCAGGTTCGAGATTCGTCCCACTTATTTGAGTTTGGACAATTGATTCGTTTCATTAGTCATTACACTTAATGTATGGCTCACAATCAAATACCTGATGAATGACATAATATTTGTTGTCATACCTCAGTAGTAACTAAGAAACACTTTTGGCTTGTATCAACACAAAAATAAATAATATATTGAAACACTAACTGAATAGTTGAACAATTTGTATATGGATAATGATTAAAGTTTTAATTTTCAAAATATCTACTTAAGCAAAACATATCCAAAGTAAACAGAAAAAGTGGTTATTTAAAACAATAACCTATTTCAACATAAAATTGAAATGTGTCAATTTTGTTGATTCAGTAGTAGGTGTACGTGTAATCAATCTATTCAGATATCTACTACTATTATGTAATCATTCATCTGTTTAACCGATGGATAATAATTGACTATTGATACATAAATAGACAAATAGGTGGTATTTGATTTTTTGGTTGAGATCATGAACCGATTGATGTTAGACCATCTTTGGAAACCTGGAAGCACTGGACGGCCGTTTCGTCATATTGTAGGACTCCTCAGCAGTGCACATCCACGATCCCGTCCACGGGATTCGAACCCAGGGCCTTCGGTCTCGAGCGCGAACGCTTCACCTCTAGACCATTGAGCCCGCCTGCAATGATGATAGTGTCTAACCAATCCACGAAATCGCGCGACCAACTTCCATTGTACTGAGGTAGGATACCTGTCTCTACGCGACATGGACATTTGAATTAGTGATTTATGATTGTTCCGAGTTAATAAGATGAAAACATTGAATATTTTAAAAACTAAACTTATTTTACTAACATTCAAGTTTATACTTTCTACAAGGTGAATGAGTTAAGTGCCAACCAGAGGTGTCATCTATCCTATGTTATGTGCTACTTAAATGGACATAAGTAGTATATAATCCTACTCAGGAATAGAAGGTCTGGAAGCAGGACGTCGAGAAGATCGAGAAGGAAAGAACGCGAACAAAGATTGATTAGTATGGGAGCACAGGAACAGTCGAGTCCAAGACAATTGATTGACATTTGCCAATGAAGTATTTATTGTATGGTTCTCAGATTTTACTAAGAGAATTTGTAATTTTGTTTCCAAATACGTTCGATTGTACTCACTTGTGTTCTCGTTCACTATAGTCGTAGTGGTGAAGTGAACGGAGACTGTCAATATAAGTAGCGCACATCACGGTAGTAGTACAGTGAACGAGGACATAAGCGGGGACAACCAAATGTAATTGAATAGAAAATTACAGAATCACCTAATAGAACCTGAGAACCATACAATAAATACTTCATTTGCAAAATATCAGTCCATTGTCTCAGACTCGATTGTTCCTTCGTTTCCACACCAATTATTCTCTATTCTCATTCTCTTTCCTCCGATCTTCTTAACCTTCTGTCGCCAGACATTTCACTTTCGATGCTACTACTACTATATACTACTTAAATCTGTCGACAACAGTAGTACTAACGGATAACTCTTACAAACAGAAGATCAACTATCATTAGCGAATAAGTGTTAATTCCTATAAGAACAATACTTTTACCTATCATAGTAAAATATTTAACTACATTTCGCATTTATTTCCTTATGGTGTAATATAATATATATTTAATATATGTTCCGGTCATTAGAGTATAGTCATACAGTTCACGGGAAAGTAAGTGATACTACTCCACTACATAAAGTATACGATGTGAGTTTTAAGCACACAAAATAACAATTAAAGGCCCAATCCTTCAATTAATAAGTCATTGATCTTAACTTCTTTCATATGATGAATGAACTGGAAATATAATAAAATGGAATGAATTCCAGACAGTGAGATGAAACTAGGCATTTATAACGAATGAAATGGATAATTCACTATTGATAGACGTAAATTAACCATTTAATCGTCTAAAATTAGCAATTAGTAGTAGATAGGAAAATTTGACCCAAAGGAAGTCTCATCAGCCCTTGTGGTCTGGTGTGTGACGAAATCTCAGCACGGATACAGAAGGCTCGACTAGCTTTTACCAACTTGCGTCATTTATGGCGTAGGCGAGATATCCGTCTATCAACCAAAGGACGTGTTTACTGCGCAGCAGTTCGTTCCGTCCTACTTTATGGCAGTGAAACATAGCCGGTAAGAGAAGAGGATATTCGTAGGTTACTAGTATTTGATCATAGGTGTCTTCGAAATATTGCTCGTATATCATGGGACCATCGAGTAAGTAACACAGTTGTTAGGAAACGGGTACTAGGTAAGGATGGCAAATCGATTGATGAAGTGATGAAACTTCATCAGTTGAGATGGCTGGGACACGTGTTACGTATGCCCAACAACCGACTGTCTCGACGTGCGATGTTCAGTGGTATAAGAGTAGGTTGAAAAAAAGCTAGGGGCGACCAGACCAAAACATGGCACAAGTCCATGAAGTCACTGACAAGTGGACTGAGTCATGTTGGTAAGTGTAGACTACCTGGTTGGAGACCACGAGATGATGGCAACCGATGGTTAGAGACCGTGAATGACATGGCTCAAAATCGTTTGCAATGGCGCAGGTGCATACACTCTTTGTGTTCTCCCAAATTTTGATCTCCTTATTCCTCCTTGTCTTTTTTTTTCTCTTCCAAAATTTATTTCACTGTAGTATATTATTTAAATAACATCTCCAAACACTAATTTTCCCGATTACTGCTTATACTCTTACTACCTCTACCACTACGGGATTTGAATCGATAACTGCATCTACGTGCTAATGTGGTGTGGCAACTCGAACTGATGTACGTACGTACGAAGTTCTACGTTGTTACTGACTGACTGGCTGACCCGAAGGATATTTACGGGACAATTGAACTGGGTCACGTACAGTTATCCAGAGTACTGGTAAAATTGGTGGTAATCGATAGATTTATCGCCCATATACTTTACTTATATTTCAACTGATTAAACGATGAATATCAGAACTAGTTCAAACTGACACATTTTATCGGCACAGTGAGATGAAGTCTCTAAGACTAATTTACAGTAGTAGATATGGTAAAAGTATTAATGATAGCAGAAAACATTAGGCATGAACAATCTGAATAGAATGGAAAGAATTAATTCACGGAAATAAAAAGTATGGGCTTTAAAACTCAGGATCTAAGCGAAGACAAAGAGTAACTGCATCTGCAACATTGCAAGAAGACTCTAAACCCATGTCGTCAGTTAAGATAACTGCACAGACCCTAAACAAATAGTCTGAACATTCTACACGGCTCAATTCATACGTAATATACGTCCTAACTATCTAAGTCCCTACTCAGTACCCTGCGTACAGCCTCAAAATCGCACACTCAGTGACCCCAACATACGTGGTGAGTGCTTTGGAGATGTCTGTAGGTAAATACTAATAATATAAGAATACCTTCGATTTTTAAAGACTCCGTTTTACAGTCAGAAAATAGGACAGAAAGAACTGCTAGACACAAAGACAAAAATGACAGACTATGATGAAACGCCTGTCAAACCCTCTCAAGTCTCTAGAGTATTTACAATCAATATCAATCCATTATAATACTAACCGTAAACTGAACACTTGTAACAAAACCCTTTCTTCAGTAATATTTATGGGCTCATTAATGAAAGGCTTCCAGATAGATTTCTTGAAGCTCTAGTGAACGGCCATGAAAAAGAAAATACTGCAAACTAAGAATGAATGAGAAAATCATTGATGAAAATTATCAAAGATAACGCAAATAGCCGGAAGTCTGGAATAAAAAGTATGTGATATTGACACAGTATCGTGACACCTTCAGGTTTTGAGTGATAATGTTGTGAGACCGATGGTGTACACTGTTGAAGAACTCCAAACAAGAGTAAAACAACTGTCTAGTACCTACGTTTTTTTAAATAGCTACTCAGTTGAGGTCTATACATGACAATAAAAAAATAGTTCAATATAAATTACCGAAATCAGTCATCTAAAAAAATCAAGACACTAACATTACATAATCCACATTCACAATGAAAGATCATATTCCACCCTTTATATGACTCTAAGGAACAAAAGTTGACTTACTGGAGATACAGTCATTTTCGATTTATTATTATCATGAAAATCAGTTGTTGAAGGCAATGATGAAAGTGGATCTTTCAATCCATCATTAACAACAAGAGATTTATGTTCAATAGTTTCTGATGGAGTCAACTGTTTCTTAGGATGAACAATTGTTTCACGAATACGATTGTTAACATTACTATTAGCCTGAAATATAAAACAGATATTAAGATTAAAAGTGATTTAAATAGTTAATAAGTACATTTTATGAATAAGGTATAGAACATTCGTTTATTTCTCTTCAGACAGTGTAATATATTATGAAGATCAAAACATTAGATCAAATATCTTATACTTGTGATTAAAACTAAAGATCTATTGTGTGGTTTTTTTTCTTCAGCCCAATTAAAATAACTATATTATTCCTTTAGAGAGAAATCTCATCATAAACAATAAATGAACTGATATAAATCTATGATAACTTCGATAGATCATATTTCCACAGGAGTAAGATGGACTGAACTGGTGAACTAGGAAGAAAAACAATGAAAATACTAACACTCATAGTAGTAATCCATGAAAGATGCATGTTTGGCGATGGTTCATTATTTAAAAGGAAATAACAACCAATAAACATTACATTGAGTAAAAACTGATCTACAATGACAAGCTCTCAAATGTACCGTATAGAAAACAATAATCAACTCTCAGTGTAATAGAAAACACACCAATATCTCATTAGACGGATCAAATATTTAGAACAACATATATAAGCGAACAATATTGTTTTCGACTAGATTCTCATCCGTGTTTTTTTTAGCGAATCAGTTTTCTACGGGATGGGGTCGCTAACCCCATGCCCAACCCTCCTTCTTTATCCGGGCTTGGGACCGGCAGTAGTCCCCGGAGGGACTCCAGGCTTTACCCTAATATACAGTAATGTATTTATATGCATATATGAAATAATTAAACTAATCAAGGTAGTTATTTCACAGTGACTACATATTCTTCTAATCATTGACCTATTTTCCATTATGTAACATTGATTCAAGCCTTTATTATTGCTTACCACAACTAGTACACTTGTGATTACACTATCAAATTATACTTTTCACTTATTTATGTAATATATTCTACTGTTATCATTATTGACTCATAAACTACTTGGATTGGTTTAATAATTTCATATATGCATATAAATACATTACTGTATATTAGAGTAAAGCCTGATGAGGATCTAATCGAAAACAATATTGTTCGCTTAGATATATATGTTGTTCTGGATCAAATATTGCACACACAAAAAAGATACTCCAAGGAACAAGTGTTATCTATTACACGCAATAAACTTGATTCGTATCGAAATAATTTGATAGTAGTCACTATTAAATTAATTAAATGAACGTAAATCACTTATTGAATTGTCAGTATTTGTAAAATAATACTCAATAAACACAATATAAACGCTATACAAAATGGAAATGATATAATACACTACTAACGGTTGATGAGTTTCAAAAGGGACGAAACTCGACTCTTGAATATTAATACTAACGTTCCTATTCACATTACAATCAATTTATAAATATTAGTAGTATTTAGGTCTCAATAATGAAATTATTGTTGAATATAAACAACAAGAAACTATAAGTAATAATGTTAGTTTTGGTTAACTGATTTGTTAAACAAAAGCGTTAATAATACTGAATTGAAATAAGCAAAATACACTATCAGCTATGCACCAGGTCATCGATAATACCGAGTAGACTCAATCACGTGTAAGAGAATAATGTGTTTAGGATGTTAGCAATAACAAGCGTTAGAAATCAAATGCTGAGACCATTTTGTACAATAAACAAATACAAATTAGTGTATTCCATTCTTTTGCAAGTGTGACCAATTATTTGTTATGATAAATTATACGAATGACTATTGAAATGAAAGGATATAATACTGGTCGATAGATGGTATACACTGATACGAAGTGATACCAAGTGATGGCTTTTCATGGAACCTAATTATCGAAGTAAGCACCTGAACGACTTGAGATCAATTTTTACAGTTACTTATCCTTTACTAAGTAAAAGGTTAACTGTTAGACAATCCCATCATATCACAATGAACATAATGGCAGTTTAAACCGAAGTGGAGTAGGGAATATAAATATATAAACAACTAAGCTACAACCTTGTAAATCAGAACAAACGAACAAGACAAAAGTCAAACACTAAACAGTTCTTACTTTTACCTTAGCAACATGTTCCATTTTAGCAGTAGAATTAGGAACAACAGAAGTGGTGATGATCGTGGCATTAGGAGTAATAGAAGTAGTATGTGGTGATTTGACAACAGTTGAATGTATATCATGCATAAGTTCAAATACACATGATGTAATCGAAGGTGATTTTGTGTCAGAAGTGATTACATCTGTAATTAATTGATCGACTATTTCATCAATTATATAATCATTCATTTTGTTATTCTACACAATCACATAATACATATGTGAGTAGATATATATAGAGAGAAAGAAATGAGGAAATATTATATTAATGATAAGAGATTAGATTGCATTAAATTAAATAAAGCGAAAATGAGACAAAGCGAAAAGCAAAATAGCAATTATAGCATGATAATTAAATAAAATCCCTTTTTTAATATCAAATTGAATATAATGGAAAATATAATTGGTTAGTTAATAGTTAATCGAATCATGTTAGTGATTAAGAAAAAACATTCAGTAATATAACATAGAAAATCATAGAGTTGTCTTTACTGAATAAATCATCTTATTGTGGGACTCCTCAGCAATGCTCATCCACAATCCCGCTCACGGGATTTGAACACGGGGCCTTCAGTCTCGCGCGCGAACGCTTAACCTCTAGACCACTGAGCTGGTCGGCATCCAACGGTGTTAATGTTTAACCTCAAGCAATCCACGAAATTTCTCGACTGAAAACTTCCATTGTATTGGGTAGATACCTGTCTCTACCTGACACGGATTAGCTCCACTGGTCACGGTTTCTCACTAGGACTCCGAGAATTTCCTCACGAAACTAGTCACTAGTGAGCACATGGTAATTATCAGTATAGGGTTGTGAAGATTATTAAGTTTTTGATTGAGATCATGAACTTATTGATGAAAGCTTTTTATTATTTAAAATAGCATGAGTTCCATCAGTCAGTAACGACGTAGAACTTCGTACGTACGTACATCAGTTCTATCAATTATACTCGTTAATGAAAGCCAATCAAAAAAAAATTTAAAGTCACATTACAAAACTTCAAAAAAATTAGTTCACGTGCTTAATAGAGAGGTAATCATATGGTGCATAGGTTGGTATATCTCATGAACGATTATTATAAGCATGAATAGTTGTCTATAAATCAAATAATATATATATTAATTTCAATGGTTGAGACCATGAGTCAACTGAAGCTAGATCGCCATGGAAAATCCAGAAGCACTAAACGGCCGTTTCGTCCTGTTGTGGAACTCCTCAGCAGTGCGCATCCACGATCCCGCCTCTCGACATTCGAACCCATGACTTATCAGTCTCGCTCACGAGCGCTTAACCTCTAAACCACTGAGCCAGCCGGCATTCAACGATGTTAATGTATAACTTCAATGAATCCACTAAATTGCACCACCGTCCACCATTGTCTTCAATCTGTTATACTATCACAACAGACCTGATTGAACTACATTGGTTCGAACCCGGTGAGCGAGATCGTAGATGCGCATTACTGAGAAGTCCCATACTAAGACGAAACGTCCGTCTATTTCTTCCAAGTTTCCATAATGGTCTAACTTTAATCTCCACAAATTCAGAGATATATTGATAAAAGTGCATTGAATTTGTTAGCTTTTTTTCCTTCTTTATAGCAAAAGTGCATAATAGGAAGAAGAAGAAGCCTGATCACTTTTATATGGCATAATTATGCAACAACAATAGATCAAATGTGCAATGGTATCATCATGTGTAAATTTAATGATGTGGTTTTTCTTTTTAAATCAAATAGCATTCAATTTAGAGCACTTTTTGTTTTATTTATAAATAATCACTAGGTGTTAGATTTATATAATCAGCTGTGTATCGTGTAGATGAGAATGTGAATTGTATTTACTTGTTGTTGTTGTTGAGAATTTCCATAATCATATATGATTGTTGATTTTATATTATCAACATTATGATTCTTTTTTAATATTGGTGATAAAATTGGTAAATTGATTTCAGTTCGCCAAATTTTCTTAGATATAATTGGTTTAATAGATGGTAAATCTATAGTGATCATTGATTTATCTATCCATGTAGGACATACAGTAACTTTAAAAGAAGTATGATTAGTAGTTGCTGAGTTATTATGATTGTTCCTTGATTGTATGGTATTAATTGATTTTTCACAAGATAATTGATTAGTGTTAGTTGATACCGGTACGTTATTAGGTTTGTAAATCGATGAGATAGTGAATAATGAACCGGATTTTCTTTGACTGACATGTGCAACAGTAGATCGACGTTTTACTTTAGAACGCATTTTCACAACTGGTTTAGTGGTTGTCTGTAGTAGATCTTGTTTCAAAGAACATGACCGAGCTATTGCAACCAATGATAGTCCTGGCATTTTCCCCACCTTCTAACATAATGAATTGTATTCGATTTTAAAAAGTAGCTACATTTTTCGAAAAAATTTTCAACTGAAACTTAGACAACGAAAAAAACTTCAACAATAAATGTAAAATAAACCTGGTTGGAACTACTAATAACAAAAATCTTTTAACCAATACAGTGAGTAATCAACTGTACTACCTCATATTGTTTATGTAACATCACAAAGCGCGAAAATACTTACGAGCTGGGGATCATTTTTAGAAAGAATTTGTTAATAGGTTGAATGTAGTTGAGAGGATCCTCTGAGCCCAAGTTTCGTGCTACTCGAAACACATTTCAAATCTTGAAAGAACTAATCCCTCTTATGGGACTCATGCCTACATTACTCAATTTTACAATAGTTACCACTGGATAGTAAAGTTAATTGTAACTTAAAGTCTCTGTGTACTATATTCGCTTTCAAATGATTGAATGTGTTATTATTGTTATAGAACTAATATTTACAAATTATGACTAAACAGATAGAAGAAAATACATTAAGATTTACACATTCACAAATGTATAATGAGAAAGAGATTGGTTAAATTATTAAGTGATATAGAGAGCAAACAATTTGTGATGGAATAGTGCCAACTACAACAGCAAACGTAAATACAATAATACTTAGTAACATAAACAATAAAACACACCAATGAACTGGTTAAAAATCTTCTAAAAATACAATTGGTCTGCTAATTTTGTCTAACTATGGAAACAACAAACTTAACGGATAAGATATTTACGAATTGATGTAAGAATTCAACAAACTACACTATAATGATATGATATTGACTTTATTGGATTGAAAAAAAAACAGACAACATACAACAATGGAGCAATGAGCTGTAGTGTGGTTGATGCACTCGAATTCCAACCATTAATCATTCGCACCATCCACATCTATTTGAGCAACTGGTTAGTATTATTTATTATCATACAGAGTGAGACTTTAAGACAAACAAGGTACATAATGAAAATAGAGTTTATCTTCTTATGTTTTATTATCTATACATCATTCGATATGCTGTCCACAAAAAAAATATTCGTATAGCTTGATGATAATTTTTATTCTTGAAAAATTAATAAACTAATTTTCAAGTTTGATCTTCATCCAGTTGTCTAAGCAAGATATTCAACATCCATTGGTCGGATACCATCCGCAACAGCCTACTATGTGAGAGAACAAACCAGCTTCCAGTTGACGAGAAAATTAGGAAAAGACATTCAAAGTGGATAGAATATACATTACGGAAATCACCAAACTGTATCACGAGACAAGCCCTAACTTGGAATCCTGAAGTGAAGCGGAAAAGAGGAAGGCCAAAGAACACAATACGTCGGGAAATAGAAGCAGATATGAAAAGGATGAATAACAACTGGAAAGAGCTGGAAAGGATTGCTTGTGACAGGGTTGGATGGTGAGTGCTGGTGGGCGGCCTATACTCCTCCACGAGGAGTAACAAGACTAAGTAAGTATTACCTCATATTCAACTTGGTTGACTCTAAAGGCGATAAATCCCCACTGGATTTTCAGAAGTGACCCAGAATTTCTGTAAGTGAAGTCATTGGTTTGCTTGAACGTTCCAAAACTTAACGCAATAGCGTTCATTCAGCAATTTTGTTTGATACCGTTCGAATAGAGCTTCATTCGTTATCGTTTACTGTTATACCGGTAGTGTTTTATGATGATGATGATATCTGATAGAGTAACACCATTTCTATTGTTATAAATAACTAATGATTATTTTTACAGATTCCGTACTACCGATAAAATTTGTGCGCAAGTATAGTGACATGTGATTGTTGCAATAAATCCTGTGTCGTGCGATTTAGATACTTTAGTATGGGCAGAGTCATATAAATCGTCTTCTGGGACCTGCATAATAATCATGTTTAACCCACTCATTGAAATCTCCTTCGACAATATTATATCGTAAATTGATTGGCTATGAAAGCCTGTGTCAGTGAATATCGATTAATTAGTTGACGGCAAAGGGATTGCATAAAGAACAGGTAATTCAAGGACATGAACCGTGGAGATAGCCAATTTAAAAGTTAGGATAAATTTTTCTTTCTGTTACAAATTTACCACATTTAAAAAAATTCTACATAACTCGACTAACATACAGTGGCATAAAGATAATGTACTCTTATAAACAGTTTGCAGCTCTCAAGAATATAGCGAAATATCTCATTAAATTCCCCGATGTTATATCAGCTTCACATGAAATACTGAAATAAGCAATCAAGCTTGAAATATAGTAAGATGTATTCAAATAATCGAAGAACTCAGATTACAATTTAGTCATTTAGTAGTAATTGAGATATATTATACAGAAACTAATAGTACTCTATACACGAACTAATTTAAATAAAGTAGTATTTTAAGAATATTTCCATTAGATCTACTTAGTTAACCTTGACCTAACTTCTAAACGGATTATTATTACTTGGGTACAGAGTAACAATAATGAGATAATCAATAGATAGAACATTACTAGGTATAATCACATACACTGAACAATTAACTTTAATAGTACACAGATTAACAGCAAGAAAATCTGAAATGATAGTCCATGTCAAAATGTAAAAAGTTGATATACTTGACCTGCAATTACATCCTCAAGAGTGAAAAATAATCGAACTAATATGGGTTTCTTTTTGTATAAAGTAAAGTTGATTATCAACGACTAGTGTTTATGTGTAGATTTTTGTAAACATTTTGTTATTTATATTCATGTTCCTCTTATTATGAGCTTTATTTTGACCTATGAACTGTTATTACACCATTTACCATTCTCGAGTTATGCACTGTCTATTAATCACTACCTACCCCATTCACAGCCACATTTGGCTAATTCTTGTACAAATGTTGTTTCCTACTTTATGGTGCGATGCGGTCTGTCTGGTTGGTATATAAACCCAGTATGTTTGGAATACATAATTCATATTGCAGAGACTGAGATTGGTGTTCTGGACTTAACTGGCTGCGTGGGTTAGGCAGGAAGCAGGACCGATAAGGACCCTAGACTGCTCGTACGCGTTTTACGCGTCACTGGTCCGATCGATAATTCACTGCTCTCAAATTGGTGGTATCGTCACGTTATACATTACCAGGGCACACAGGTCTTAAGTTATAGCACATTTTAATTAGGTTAACATGTATTCATTAAGTTGAAAGAAAGTTATAAGCCTATTTGAAAAAGGGAGAGTTAGAAACATAGTTTATATTCCCTACAAGATCAAATATACTTTATTTGTTTTAGTACTTAATTTGTTAATTTAAAAAGATGTTGATTGTAACTGTATGTTAATAAATACGATTGATGGTATATTGACCAAGGATCACGTTGTAAACCGAATGAACTAAAATTGAAATAATCGGATTGGAACTGATTGATCGATAAGGAATTTTGTACTAATTAATTTACTAGATACTAACTCATTCATTTGGCTTAGAGGAGAACTCTAAGTATGAGGGGTAGAGATACTAGCTGGGTGCTGAAGTTTAAGAAAAAGTGGAGCGGGTTTGAAGCCTAAAACCTGGTGGTTGAAAGCCGAGAGCTCTAATCAATAAGTCATCACTCTGTAAACTCACATTGACCGAAAAAATTGAAACTTTCGGCTTAAATTTTGTGTAAAGTCATGGATTTATCACTAAAGTAAAATGTCTAGCCAGTGCTAGCTGATTTTGAACGATTTCTCAGCTGATATCAATTAATGGTAAAACTATGTCCTTTCAAATTAATCATTAGTCACTCAACTTGACTTAAATTGTAAAGAAAATCCTTCACTGATAGGCTGGGTGGATCTGAAAACGTTACGTGATTGTGCTCACATATTATATCACGACCGAAAGGTAGATGGAAAGTAGTAAATTAAGCACGCTATCGAGTGAGGCCGACTACACACTCAGCAAAGGTCTAAATCTGTATGTCCTCATCTAGGCCATATATATATACTAATTTATTGATGTACACTTTATTCGGTTTGGCAATTACAGCTTTATATTCATTCCTAGCTTTCTCACCAAAGCGTACCAGGTTGAGCAAGTGTATAAAAAGCGTGTGAAAATGGCCACGGATGTCGTTTAGAAGAACGATGAAAGCTCCATAACCAAACCATCCAGCTCAGAGATCAAAACTCTATCAAAATCATCCACCTCAGCTACAAATCACCATCTCAAAATCATATGAACGTAGTACGCTTCTCTGTTCGAAAATGAGAGAATTTCGCCAAAAAGTAGGCTTCCACTCAAGAACAACTGTATTTACTCCACGAGTGTCTTCATCAGCATGTTCTACTGACAAGTGCCCATTTGGATAGAGAATAGCTGAGCAAAGTTGAACAAAAATGGTACACCTAATGATAACGGATGCACATTACAGGATCCGCAAATACCAACACGTCACAGAGGACCACAAGATGAAGCTACAAAGGTCATTCACGTCAAAACATCTGGAAATTTTGACAACAGCCATCAAGATATCATGCAAACGACATAGGGAACAAAGAAGCAACACCCTAAAGAAGAAACTTATATGTAGATAACATATTGAGAGAAAAGTTTTCTTCAATTGAATCAAAGATTTTCGCTGATGGTCGTGAAAACTGTACAAACAATTTAATGTCGAAAAAAAACATAAACCCGCTGTGTTCATGAAAAAAAACCAAACGTGTACAATTTCTTCTATGGTACTATTACTGCCCCATTATGTGCATAACTATTCATGAAATAAATTTGCGAAAATCATCTATGGAAACGATTTTGTAAAAAAAACAATGTTTGGAGTTGGGAAAATAATGTGAAAGAACAAATCAGCTGAAAATATTGACTTCTGAAGAGTTTCAGTAATGTTTTTTCAACAACTGTAGTAGTAAATCAATGCGAATAATATCAATAGATTGTAAACTTATGTTACAAATAACCTCATTTCGCATTACTCACTTACTTACTTACGCCTGTTACTCCTCGTGAAGGAGCATAGGCCTCTCACCAGCATTCTCCATCCAACCCATTTTATTTCGCATATCTATTAAATAATCAATATCTCTTTCTACAATAGTCTTATGATCATTTCGTTAAAAAGAAAACATTATTGTTTCCATTTAAGTTACATATTTAAAAATTCTGATGGAGGGAACAATCCACAAACGTTTAGTTGTTTGAAAAAAAAAACGTAGAAAGATATACATATTGAAGTAAATCTCATAGTGAACGAGCTAGTAAACATACATTTTATGTACATGAAATTATATCGTTAAGTGTACTACACTTTTGATTAATTCATTTCAAGAACTGTATATCACATTATAAATTATCAGAAGAGGCTTTATGGATATTGTAGTAATTCTAATAGTTAAGAGCATGAGTCAATTGAAGCTAGCTATTGTAGGATAGTAACACACTGAAGACAATGGTGGATGTGTCGCTCAATTTTGTAGATTAGTTGAAATTAAACATTAACATCGTTGGATACCGGCTAACTCAGTGGTCTAATAATGGTTAAGCGCTCATGCGCAAGACTGATAGACAATGGGTTCGAATGTCGAGAGGCGGGATCGTGGATACACACTGCTGAGGAGTCCCACAGTAGGACGAAATGGCCATCCAGTGCTTTCAGGTTTTCCATAGTAATCTAGCTTCAATTGACTCATGATCTCAACTATTAAAATTACATAGAAATTATTCATATAATTACAACTTATGCTAAATCTGTAACGATGGAATATTAAGAAGGAAATATTCTATTTTAATCGTGAAAGTATACATAACGAATATAAAAACAATTAAGAGAAATAATACACTTACTGAATCAGATTGTTTTGTTAATTCGTAATGATTATCAGAAGTTGTATGTTCAAGACTAACACCACTATCACCACTATTATCATTTATTTGTTTAAGATTTTTATTTGATTCATGTTTATTTTTTGTATTATCATGTTCTTCATCGATGAATCATTTTTATTATTATCATTATCAACATCATCATCATCACCATCATAAACCATTTCAACAGGAATTGATAATTTCGTAGAATCTGACAGTATAAGTGGATTCAAATCATTATCGTCCATTTCATCAATCTACAATGAATAGAATATTATTTTGTTTTTCTCAATTATTGTTAAATTTATGGAGACAATGAGTCTTTGTTATTGGATTGTAGTAGTAGTAGCAATCATGATAGTATTATATATATATAACTCCTTCTGAAGCCCCTCTTAAGCTACTGCCGGTCGCAAGCCCGGATAATGGGGGAGGGTTGGGTATGGGGTTAGCGACATTATCCTGTAGAAAACTAACCCGCTAAAAAACGCTAATCAGAAAAAATTATCCAAACCATTTAAACTCTGCCCTTGGGAGTCAGAAAGTCTTCATTTGGAAAAGTTATGACGCCACATGGTGAAAGCCGAGTTCCTTCGGGAGTCACGAGGTTGGTGCCCTTCTGACAACTAGAGCAACTATTTATTTAGATACATGGAATGCTCGTACAATGTGGGAGACCGGGAGAGTCTTCTGAATTGCTGCTTGCCATATATATATATATATATATATATATATATATATATATATATATATATATATATATTTAACAGTTTGGGTGATATTCGGAATGATAGATCTCAGTTGAAAAGTTCTTTATTATGGTTCATAAATATTGCCTTGTATAAATCAATCAAATAGTGACAACGTAGAACCGAGCACACATACAGAGCATTGGGACCGGATTCTCACACTTTACGTTAGCATAACTCAAATGGTAAATTGACACGACATAAACCGAAGAGAATAGTCAAAGTAATCGTATCGGTAATTTTTTAGACAATTCACACAGTCGTTATTAAATCATCATGGGAAGTAGATGATAGAAGATAGAACAAAAGAATAACATCTAACAACCTTAATTGCCTTTACCAATTATTTCATATAAAATAATCAGTTAATTTACTAATAATTAAGTCAAACAGACTGCGCGGCAGTTCGTTCTGTTTTACTTTACGGCCGCGAAACGTGGCCATTAAGAGTAGACGATATTCGTAAGCTACTAGTATCTGATCACAGATGCCTTAGAAATATTACTCGCATCTGCTGGGATCACCGGGTAATTAATAGTGAGGTTAGACAATAAGGTATTAGGGAATGATGGTAAATTAGTTGATGAGGCTGTTAATCTTCATTGACTGAGATGGTTGGGCCACGTATTACGCATACCCGACCACCGATTACCACAGTGCGCAATGCTGACTGGTGTTAGAGACGGATGTAAGGAAGTTGCGACCGGCCAAACCTAAACGTGGCACCAGTTCACAAAGTCACTAACTTCTGGTCTGAGTCATGTTGGGAGGTGCAAACTACTTAGTTCTGGTCCGCGTGACTATCGTAACCAATGGTTGGATACTCTGGATGACATGGATCAGAATCCATCACAATGGAGTAGGTGTATAGACTTTTTTTCTTCCCTTAAACTACGAGATTAAAATTGTTTCATTTTTTTCTTTGTACGAACTAATTCTTTCTTCCTGTACTATATCCTTATATGCAATCTTACTTTTATATAATACCACCATTGAATTAATTGCTTCTATGAATTCAGTGTTCATCTTGTTGTGCTAGTGAGGTAGGTCAAGTTGGACCAATGCACATATGTGCCTGGTCCTACGTTGTAACTGACTAACTGAAGTCACACACTTTTGATAAAAAATACCAGAGATGGAGACAAAGAGAGAGATACATTAATTTATAGTTAATCTGTATATATAATGATGGTTTATACAAAAATGTACATTTTATTTTCTACTGAACTTAGGAATGTTTCTACTAAGTCACATCAAGTTCTTTCAACATTCTATTTAAAAGAAGAATTTGTTTGCTTGTTTATTTGTTTCGTTGTTGTATTTGTTGTTCCTTTTAAATGACTATTTAGATTGAATTTGAGAAGATAATTATTATCAATACACTATAATGTATGATGAAGATGTGGTTATTTGGTTTAGATAGAGAACTTTCAAACAATAGGTTATATGTTTAAATTAAGCTTTACTTAAATTAATGTAAAGAGATAAGACATATTTTCAACTGAATGGAATAAGAATGAAAAGTGGTAACCATGTCCTAAAGCATGAACTAGATAAAGACGAATATTGAACGTGTAAAGATTTTAATAGCACCTAGAATAATGACCTCGTTCGTATTAAGCTTGATTAAAATCTAGTGACTGAACTTCTACTAGGTTACAAAGTTGCATTTACCAATGATCAGTAGAATATAAATTATTCACGATTCTTCACATTATAAAGTGAAGTTTCATCCTAATAATGATCAGTTACTCATGACTAATTGCTAGTGTACACTGCTGAAAGGTCCTATGATAAGAAAAAATAGCTTCCTGGTACTACATTTTACGACTTAAACAGTATTGACGTTAGATAATCTCTGCAAATCTTCCATAGTGATAAAATGAAGTAAAGTTATTGAAACCCATTTTTTATTTATTATTTTAAAAGGCAAACGACTTAAATTCACATTTATGTCAATAAGAGTAATATCATATTTTCAAACTGTTTAATCTCTTTATCTGACAGTTTAGTTTTTTATTCCATTTCGATCTGAAAGTACACATGTGTATACAGTTTATCGCTCTTAACAAAAAATTTCGTCGAATAAAAGTAAGTTGAATTTACTTTACAAACGATACGACTGCAAATCTAACCTTTTTAGATAAACTCATCAGTTAGTCAGCTACAACGTAGGACCAGGCACATATATGTACCGGTCCAAGTTGCCATACCTCATTAACACAGCAAGATGAACACTGAATTCATAGAGGCAATTAATTCAATGATGGTATTATATAAAAGTAAGATTGCATATGAGGATATAGTACAGGAAGAAAGAATTAGTTCGTAGAAAGAAAGAAATGAAACAATTTTAATCTCGTAGTTTAAGGGAAGACAAAGAGTGTATACACTGATGCCATTGTGATGGATTCTGATCCATGTCATCCAGAGTATCCAACCATTGGTTACGATAGTCACGTGGACCCGAACTAAGTAGTTTGCATCTCCCAACATGACTCAGACCAGAAGTTAGTGACTTTGTGACTGGTGCCACGTTTAGGTTTGGCCGCTCCAACTTCCTTACATCCGTCTCTAACACCAGTCAGCATTGCGCACTGTGGTAATCGGTGGTCGGGTATGCGTAATACGTGGCCCAACCATCTCAGTCAATGAAGATTAACAGCCTCACAAACTAACTTATCATCACTTCCTAATATCCTGTTTTTAACCTCACTATTACTTACCCGGTGATCCCATCATCATAACCGAGTGAACCACTATATCTGACTTTAGATAATCTAGATCAAGTCTCAGTTTTCTTGACTAAGGTGGGAATATAATTAAAGAGAATATGTTTAGTTTGTTTATTTACCTCGCCCGGCTCAATTTAAATTATTGTTTCTTTACACTGATTTTCTCTTCTAGATCAGCCAGTCATATATAACTTAGAATCTATCACACATATACATCGTTTTACGTTGCCACACCATACTGGCGCTTTCTATATACTACGCCATCTTTAGAACTCAAAAGTCTCATGTCGTTAGGTCTCTCTCTCATGTGTCTGCATTACCAATATCCACCATCACTATTCATAAGTGTGAATATATACTCTGAGAATACTATATAAGAAGGTTGAAAGGTCAGAAGAAAATATAATTATAGACTTATCAGAATATTAATTAACAAGTCAAATAATGGATGATAGCATGTTCTGATTTTATCTCCTTCAAATAAACATGCGATAGTGCTTATTTGATGAGTTATACAATCAACATAAGTTAAATAAAGGACATCACTATTCAGACACATACATATCTCTCTTTCTCAAACATCTAGCATATAAAACAAAACAAAATGGCCTAATTATCTAAGCAAACAAATATCAACAATATATATACGTGTATATGTTTATAAATATGCTTTATTGTAACTAACACATTGTTATTACAAGACAAAACAAATAAGGAGAAAAACTTGTGAATGTACACTATGTGACAATCATTAAAACACTATGGATTTGAATATGCAGGTTATATACAAACTTAGGAGAAAATAAATCGATTGATGATAATAGTCTACCAGGTCATTATATTATTGATGTTGAGAATCGGATTATTTCAGAGTGTTAATAGCTTACCAGTTTTAACTCTGAAAGTTATTTAGTCGTAGTTGAAAGTCCTGATCCAATTGAGTTGACTTCGGTAACCCAGTGGATATCACTGGCTATCTTAAATAAGTGTTGTTCAAAGACCAGTGAACATAGGCTTACACTTGGCATATGAATTATATTTTTTTGAAAAATATTCAGATCAAATACGGTTCCAGATACAACTTGCTGAAATGTCACCAAGAATGAAACTTCTATTAAATGTTCCGTACTAACTTCATCAGTCAGTCATAAGAAACGCAGAACCTAACACATCGATTTAAGCTCCCATATGATATCAGCATGGAGAGATGCCGGAGAAGCATAATTAGTAACATTATTAAAGGTAGACATACGTCAACTATGGTTGATATAAGCCAACCAATGGTATGGAATGAGATGTAGAAACTATGAATACAATTCAGCAGCTTGATATAAGTTTATATATTAGATTTTTCAGTACTATTTTCGTATATAAAAACTGAAGATAACTTCAGGCTAGATAAAAGCAAATCAAGTGAAAACAGTCTCGAATCGGTTGACAACTTGAGTATAGTTATTAATAATAATCATTCAAACAGATTACGTGATACGTAAATAAATAAAAAAGCCTTTGAATATGTCATCTATTTACAAAATATCAATTATAGTGCATTTGGGTTTCCCATCAATAGATTTCAGGTTCGAGTTCACTTCACATATCTTAATTTTGGTATTACATATAGTTAGTATCATTAGTCTTAGCAACTAACATGTGGCCGTAAGCTATGTATGGGAACCTTTACTCAACAGGTGGATCACATTATTATTATTATTATTATTATTATTACGTGTATTTCTGAAGTAACTTACAGGCTCGTTTGGATCGAAATCTTCAACTGTTTCAATAATATCTGCATTGACTTCACATAATAGTATTTGAATTACTTTACGATCATTTTCCGTCACATCAGAAACAAATGGATCCTGTGAATAAACAATATAAAACAAAACAAATATCAAACACGCGGTCAAAATTTCTTGCTCTACTAAATATTTGTATCAGGAGTTTTGTGGAGATTTTAGAGATTTCACTGGTTGGAATCATTAGTCAATTGAAGCTAGACCACCATGAAAAACCTGGGAGCACTGGACGGTTGTTTCGTCCTAGCATGGGACTCCTCAGCAATACGCGCCCACGATCCCGCACTCCGCGGGTTTCGAACCCAGGACCTATCAGTATTGCGCCAGGCGCTTAACCAACTAGACCACTGAGCCGGCATCCAACGGTGTTAATGTCTAACTACAAACAATCCACGAAGTTGCGCCACCGTACACCATTGTCTTCAGTGAGTTGATTTCTCACAACAGACCTAGTTGAACTCTACTGGTAACGGCTTCTCACTAGAACTCCAGGAGTATCTTTGAAGTCAGTCACTAGTAAGCAGATGATTTTTCATGGTGGTCTGGCTTCAATTGACTCATGATTTCAATCAGTGAAATATTTGTATAATAACATCTTAATCTATGTTTGAGAAGATATATTACACAACTGTATCTTTTATACAGCCATCACAAGTCAACAGTCATATGACAATTCATGGATTTTCGTAATCAGCATTACCACCTTATTGCTTGTATAATTTCCAGTTTAACACAACTACAGATAGTTCACTTCTATTCAAGAAAACAAATTGACTGAAAATTGGCAATTCATATATAACAAAATATTGTAGTTAGTATATGTGTGGTATGTTGATAAAATCATAGATGAGTTATGTCACATAAGTAGTATAATGTGCTAATGTATGGTTTTATTTCATCAACAGAAAAAAAAGAAACAATAACCAAGTTTATAAAACAAAATACAACACTTAGATAATTATTATTTTGTAAACAAAAACTTGTAGTCAAGACATCATGAACAAACAGGTACAGAAAGTCCAGCACTTTAAAACTCTAATCAATATTCATTTTAAGCTTTAAAGAGAAGAGAATGAATAAACTGTTGAAATCTCATGGAGTAACTAAGACTTAATTTGAAGAAAAATGTTAATTATGAACTACCATCAAATGATGAAGAAGCATTGAGCAGTGTTCTTTGACAATTCAAGAGAATAGATTCAAGATCGTAGATAGGATTTAACAGATTGAGTGCATCTAGATATACTACATGATGCCATAAAAAAGTCAATTATGTATTGTCTTAACGCCAAGAGTTAGGTGAGATGTTACGGAAGTATTGAATTGAGGAAAGTAGATTATTCCCCGGTCAAGGGTCCGTTGCCTACGTGTCGTTATCCAGGTCGAAGAGGGTGAATAAGTAAATACACATGAATTATGTACATTAAAACTTAGTTTGACAATGTTGGGATGGCTCCCAGAACACGTAACGAGGCCTCCGGAGGCTTTAAAGGAGCCGAAGAAGTGTCATCCAATAACAATGAGATAGAACTCCCTAGAATATCAACGTAGGATGCTCTAATTGGACAGTTGTATAAACTTCCAAAGTGAGAATTCGCTGGATCATAATGATGTTATACCCTACACCAGAAACTATAAATAGACCTGTTCTGTACATTTAAAACACTTACACAATAAACCATCCTCCCACTTTCTTCTGTCTTTTCGATTTTTGAGTATAGATTCTACGCGTCCGACTGATGAAATCATATACCTTATTAGTCGTAATCAAGTAGAGGACTTAACAGGCAAATGAATATTTCTATTCATATAGTTTTCTCACATTCACAGTGGACTTGGTATACCGTAGGAGGTGCATATTTTGATCAAATCATACAGCAGAATACGACATGATTATACAACAAACCAATTTCACGGATTGGATTTTTCATATTACAACAAGATACACTAGTAGAATTGATGCAGAAACCCAGTTGGAGAACTTTCATCATCAATCATCTGAACTATAACCAATTTCAGACTGAACATTGGCATAGTCTTCCTCATATATCGTCACATAGTGCCAGAATTCAAAGGTTCCTATCTACTAAATTGCCAATTCACGGTTTTTAAAACTTGACCACCGTTTATAATGTCTTGGAGGAGCGAACATCTCTCTTGTAATTTGGTTGGTCATAAAACGTTACATCAGTCTAGTAAGTAAATAAGAGCGGTGGCTTAGTGGTTAAGGTGTTCAACTTTCAGCCCATTAGTTCTCAGTTCAGACCCCACTCCACCTATTCCCGTTTGCGCAGCCGGATAGTATAATTGACCCTTACACCTGGGATGTGGTTTACACACAAGTACTTATGGAATAATTTAATTTAAGTATATCAGTAAAAACAAGGTGTTTAGGACTAGGTGTTGTGATTCTAATAAATGTACTTCCATGAATATTGTCTTATGAGAACGTTTACTATGTCATGAATTACTGTTAGATTTGTCATTTAATTTGATTAGCACCATACTCGGTCAATACGTAATAGTTAGTGTGATAAGGTACAGAAAAATAAATGATATCCATTTAAATGACAAGCAGCTATAACTTTCTATGTCTAAATTGAAACCTAGTAACGGAAGTTGTGCTTCTGATAAGAAAGCATCTAACTGGTAAAGTGAGAATTATTACTGACTTGAATATCAATAGATTCACTCACTACGTCAGTATAAAATGTATTTGATAAAAAAGCCATCAACTTACCAAGAGAAGATCTCTACACTCGGGTCTTTGATTTGGATCTTTTTGTAGAGTACGCTCCAAGAACGCTTTGAATTTTGAAGACCTATAATAAATTATAATCAAATAAAAAATAATTTATCGGGAGAGTCGGTAATACTAACTGCTTACCTAAATGAAACTAAATGAAAGAGAGTACAGAGTTTTCATTAAAATGTGGAAAAATACAGTCATAGAAGGATACAAAAAGAAGTTATAAAAGTTAAGTATGAAACGGTAATTTATTTGCTAAACTATAAAACTAACTCACTAATCAAGTAAAAATTTATGCACTCGGTTTTGAGGTAAACTTTAAAAGTAATTAATTGAGGAGGGTTTCGAACCTAAAACCTGACGGTTGAAAGTTAAGTATTCTAACCAAAAAGTCATTGAAAAAGAACACTAGTGTTCCAATTATTGAGTTATACACTTGAATCTTTCTCTGTTTACTTTGATCCAAGCAGCTACATAGTATTATTAATCCTTATACATAAGTGTAGCTCTAAACGAAGTAATCGAGTAAGTACTTAGCCAGCATGTTCCACTGCATCAATCAAAGAAATCTCCAGAAATTTATCCAACACTACATTGTTAGAATTTTAAATAAACAATTAATCCGTAAATTAAAAGACATGAACGAATAACATTGTACGATGAGTTTACTAAGAATGTCGTAAATGGAACTGTTAGTTTAATATCTAGAAAAAATATACCCATTACAGAAAGTATTCAATGTTACTATTGTTGATGAGAGATAACGTATACTACAGAACTACTAGTTACAAATGTAGTGCACAAATCAATCATTATCAATAGTACTTCATTCCATTAATTTCTATCATAAGAGTTATGTTAATAAATACAGAGTTGGTAATATTTTGTTTCCATAGTTCACAATTGAATTAGTACTATGCCATTTATCAGGAAAACAGACGGCGAGACTATAATTTATGGACGAACCAATTATGTATAAAATAACAGGTCTCGAATTTTGGCACTAAATTCACTCATCCACTTGAGTCAATAGAGTCTTGGCATTATAGCTTATGTCAGTTAATAACAAAAACCCTAAATAGAATTCCTAACCTTAACTGTCAACTGTAAATCACAGTTCGAAGTCCTTACACTGGTTTACAACCCTCATTTCGTCCTAGTTATTAGGTGGACACTCTCAAGGTTACTTTAGCGTCGCTCAAAGGTCATTCATAAATTATAGTCTCACCAAACAGACATTTCAAATCCAACATTAATTCGTTTGTGATATCGTGAAAACAATTGATCGAAAACCCTGTCAATTGAAACCTTCTACAATAAAATACGAATTGTACTAAAATACATATGATACAACTCAATAACCAAAATGACTGATTCCAACGTTACGATGTGGATCACATCTAACGAATTGCTTGAATAGAAAGATAAAGCTCAAGATTTCATAACATGACAAAATGAAGGTTTATACCTGGAAAAGTATAACTATTTCAGAAAAATACTATTACATACACATAGTTCCCTTTACGATTTTGAAAAGAGCAAGAACAAAGATTTCGTCAGAATAGCATGAATTCGTTTTTATTTTTTGAACATGATCCAAAAATTCTCAGAACAAGGGAAAGAAAGACAGTGAAATCACCAAACATCTCCTTGATACAGGACATCTGCTAAACTCTAGTCTTCTGAAGTTTGCTGAAGCCGTTGCTATCATGAGTCAAAATTCTGACTTTTATGATCAAAAGGAGATGGTTATTAATCTTGCCTTTCCTTTCCTTGATGACAAATATTCCTTCGTTGCATCTTCTTCTTTAAACTCTTTCTTGCATTTATTACATCATTGAATTTTATTTTAACTATCTTCCAAATTAATAATCTTATTTTATCAACTGAGCTCTACTCACTATATTCCTATCAATGTTTACTCATTATGCAATCATTACTTGTTTCTAGCCGTTTGAACTGTTGTCACAATCAATGTTGTAAAATGTTCCTTCATCACATAAGGTATATATTTGCAATATCCAATCTATTAAATTTATTTACACCCTTGCTATACTATACGAATGTGTCTTCAATATAGCTTTCAACCAAACCGTCTCATGTAAGTAATTGAAATCATTATGTAATCATGATTTTTAAATATCATAGGTTGTAAGCAGCTGATGAGAACCTACGAAATAGAAATGAATTCATGTTGTTCTTGGTCTTTTCAAAATACTATCATGTAAATATATCTCTGTTATATATTTCATTGTCAATTTATGATTCTTATCAATACATCTATTAATTAATAAATATAAATAAAATAAACATCATATGAGTGTCCAAAAAGGTAAGTATTATTGGCAGTTCATGTATAATCGATATACTAAAACCAATTAGTGCAGTAGATAGTGTTCAACTTTCAATCAAATAGTAGCAGATTTAAAGTTTGCTCCATCTATTTTAATTTAAGTACTCAGTGAGTATCACTAGTCTTCATCAAACTAAAACAAGTGACTCAAAGCTAGATTCATGAAGTTATACTTGGTTATCGAATCATTACAGACAATTTCTGCTCTCCGCTCACTCCTTTTGTTAGCGTTAATAAAAGAATTTGAATTTTGTTAGCTTTAATAAAATAAAGTAAACAAATGAATAAAACTAGTACACTGTTATATAATTAAACACAAATCCAGTTTAAATATTTGTCCTTAAAAAAAACATACTCCAACAGTTTTGCTCAGAACAAAATGAAATGAGGCCTGAATAGGAAGAAATCATTTATTAAACAGTCTTAAGCGACACTATTCGAGGGTCAGTAATAACACCTGGTTATTCAAAACTGAAGAAATCGAAGAAGGGGTTCAAACTTGTGATAAGCGCATAGTCTACTCTGAGTAACGACGGAACATAAACACAAACAACTAAGCTGTGCTAAACTCTGATTACTATCGTCAGAGAGAACTATCGATAACAAACTTAAGTATTGTATTCATTTACTGAGCACAGAATTACGTAACTTAAGTACTTGGCTTGTTGGCCATGTTTAAGGGCTAGTGATAATATCCGATTGTTCAAACAAAAGTAAGTGGAATGGGGTTCGAGTCAGGTTTGAACCACTGAGCTGCTGCTACGCTAAAAACTGTATATTATAACAACGAAACTAAACACAACTCTGATGTTAAATATTATGATCAGTTCATGCTGCCAAGGGTATGAAACATCATTATGTATGATAATTACAGAAAGTCTATGGAGAGGAATCTGGAATCTTTGACTTACTATGTATATATGACCTAATTTAGATAACTAACAATTGAGATTTCGGACAATAAGGTTAATCCATCAAATAAATGGTAACTCACCATAATTGTGGTCTAGATAAAGTTGGTGGGTCAGACTTCAGAATTCTCAACAAAACACGTGTTGGATTAGTAGCGTTATGAGGTGGTCTCTTTTGAGCAAGTTCAATTAGAGTTATACCTACACAAAGTTAGCAATAGATTTTTATTCAACAAAAAGAAAGGGATACGCTTATCAAAACAAAATTAAATAATTCGACTTGATAGGTCGATGTGAGTTGCATTGAATGAGAATACCCAAGAATCTCCGACTGATTTAAATTTTCCACTTGCAACACTAAATTGTAGAAAAATATGTAGTCTTTAAGGAACTAGTACTTCGTTCAAAGATACAAATTTAGATCATTTGTTGCTATGGTTGAAACATTAAGAGTAGCGAATTAATGAAGACTAAGCTTCTGCTAAATTACAACCTAAATCATTGTTATAAGACTTCGTGTTAAGGTTTGATAACAATGAAGTTTAAAGTCTCTAATTATCCAAAACTAAGTACATTGTATTATGATATCCGGTCATCAACTTGATTGAATAATCCTTTAAACGAATCAAGTGAACAATATGACAGAATTATATTATTTAGAGAACATAGAAACATTTATTTTTTAAGCAGCTACAAAATTATTTACCACTTACGAAGAGATATGAACTGGTGATAAGTTTTATATGGCGTTGTTCAATTTAGCTTAATTAACGTCGTTCATTCAGTCTAACATCTAAACGTCTCAGTAACTATTGGAACACCAATACAAGTGAGAAATCTCAGCCAATTATATATATATATATATATATATATATATATATATATATATATATATATACTCACAAAAGAATTTTCACTTCACCATATGATTTTAGTTAAACAGGTACTGAACGATGGGTAGCTTCCGTACACAGAATATGGCACTTTGAATTCAACAGATCAAGTGACTTTCATCCATAAATCTTTTGATGAAATCGATAGGGTTTAATTCTTTTCACAAAATCACAAAAGAAAGTGCGAAAGGTCAATTGAACACAAATCACAATTTAGTTGTTTAAAACCTATTGTCTAATAGTAAGTGTATATATTTCTATATTAATGAGCCAAGGTAGTAGTATTTGGAATAGAAATGCATGTAGGATATGAGAAACAAAAACATTCACAGCTGCATAGACACTATAAGTCACAGTGACTGCTCCTTTGTGACTCATAAATATACAGGTATTGTGAATCGCGAGTTGGCTACTCTAAATTCTACCGATTGACAAGCTTCAGATATCCGAGTTCGACCCCTATACTGTTCCCAATCTCCAATATATCAGAACACGAACCGTAGATGTAAAACCGTTTATGGGGTCAGGAGCAGCAGAATAATGATTTACAAACAAATGCATATTTATACAGTTAGGATTACTATAAATATTGACCAACAGAAAGATGACACGTTAAATAATATTGACCAATAGGAAAATGACACGCGAAATAAATATTGATCAGTAGGGAAACGACCAATAGGGAAATGACACCATTTAACGTTCAAGGGTAGCGTTAGACTTAACCGGATAATTGTTTTTGGGATATTTTTCTGAGTATCCCAACACCTCCCCTTTGGAGAAGTTAATAGCGACGTAACCGAGGGTTTACTTGAAGTTTCTTTGGGTGTCTTCTTTTGCGATCCGACCTCCGAGGCAACCACACAGAACCAGAAGGATGTTCTACTTGAGTAGATGACTTAGTCGTCTCTGTTGGAGGTATTGGCGGAAGTTGAAACGTGTCCAACAGCAAGTCGAGTGGGACGTGTTTTGTAATTGCTTCTTTCTCCTTCGCTTCCCTTGACCTGAGTTGATTGTGGTGCCTGGTCCAGATTTCTTGGTTCACCTTGACATCATACATGACGTTCCCATGTTTTTGTGTGATTTCACCCTCTACCCATCTATCGCATCCGTGTCTATAATCTCGCGCATACACTTTTGTACCAACTTCGTAGGGAATTCGAGTATTCTTCATCTGGGGGCTTTGCTGGGCCACTTGCTTGGGTTTCATCGCACATGAACTGTCCGTAGTTTTCGCCCCATAAGCATCTCAGCAGGGGATTTGGAGTTTGGCAATAAGTCATGCGGGGTCGTCCGGTACGCAACTAGGAATCGTTCTATGATATCTTCTGTGGTCCCCTCCCCTCGTGCTTTAAGCATGGCTCGTTTAAATGTATCAACGAACCTTTCAGCTTGCCCATTAGATTGCGGGTGATATGGCGGAGAACGAACATGGTTGATCGAATTTTGCAGGCAAAATTCTCGGAATTGGCTAGATGTGAATTGTGAACCATTGTCTGTTACTATTGTTTCTGGAAGACCATGCTGCGCGAAGATCTGATTAAGGAGTTTGATGGTTCGAGTTGTAGAGGGTGGCGCAATCGGCAATATCTCCGGCCATTTGGAGTAGGAGTCAACCAGTATCAGGTATGTGGTACCATCTAGGGGTCCGGTGAAGTCAATATGCACTCGCGACCAGGGTTTTTCTGACTTTGGCCAGGGTACTGGAGGCAACTTAGGAGGATTTTTCGCAGCTTTTTGACAATGTGAACATCTTTTGACGAAGTCGACAATCTGCTTGTCCATATTCGGCCAATATGCATGGCTGCGAGCGATGGATTTCATACGGTTTATCCCTGGGTGTCCAGAGTGGAATTGGCGTAGGACTTTGGAACGTAGGGTTGTTGGAATTACTACGCGATCACCGAACATCAGACAATCGTTAACAATACAGAGAGCGCTGCGACGATTCGCTAGTTGTTGCATATCACCACTCAGCTGCTTAACTGGCCATCTGCTCTGAACATAGGTGATCGCTTCTTGGATAATCGGGTCTTCTCTGGTAGCTTCCCGAACATCTTCAGCGGTAACAGGCATTGCTCGAACGGCATTCGCTAATAGTGTAGCACCGGAATCCTCTTCGGTTGATACTATGGCTATGAGTGTGTCCTCATCAGTGGTAGAATGGTTACTGATAAGTCTGGACAGTGCATCCGCTTGACCAAAATCTTCGGAACGTCGATACTGGATGTCGAAGTCGTACCCCAATAACGCCAACGCCCAACGTTGAAGACGATTAGCAGAATGGGCAGGAATGCCTTTCTTTGATCCAAAGATTGATAACAACGGCTTGTGGTCTGTGAGCAAGGTGAAACGGCGCCCATAAATGAATTTGTGGAATCGCCGGACAGCAAAAATTAGGGCTAACGCTTCCTTCTCTATCTGGCCGTAGCGTTTCTCAGCAGGTGTTAGTGTTCTCGAAGCGTGCATCACCGCTTTTTCTGACCCGTCGGGAAAGACATGTGAGATTACGGCACCCAGTCCATGTGTTGAAGCGTCAGCAGCAACCACAATGGGTAGTTTCGGATTGTAGTGGGTTAGCAGAAGATTGGAACTTAGCATGGCTTTAAGTTTTGAAAAGGCTGACTCACATTGCGTTGACCAATTCCAAGTAGCATTCTTTTCTAGCAGACGATTTAATGGATATCGTACGTCATGCAGTGATGGAAGAAATGCTGAATAGTAGCTAATCATTCCCAAAAATGATCGCAGTGAGGAGACATCAGTGGGGGCAGGCATTTGTTGGATTGCGTAAGTATTTTGAGGATCAGGGTGTCGTCCGGAAGCATCAAAGATAAACCCCAGGTACTTAACGAAACGTAAGAAGAATTGGCATTTTTCTGGGCGCAGGCGAAAACCATTATCCTGGAGGCGTTGCAGAACTAAGTGGGTTCTGGTATGCAATTCATCAGCAGTTGAGCCGACAATGAGCACATCGTCAAGGTATGTAGCAACACCAGGAACATCTGCCAGAATAGTGTCCATGATCTGCTGGAAGATCGCTGGAGCAGTTTTGATACCAAAGGGTAACCGGGTATACTGAAAAAGTCCTCGGTGAGTGTTGATTGTCAACAACTCTCTGGATTCGAGAGCGACTGGAATTTGAAGGTAAGCATCTGCCAGATCCAGCTTAGCAAAATAGGTACCACCATTTAAAATAGTAAATAAGTCATCTGGGATCGGCAGCGGATAGTGATGCTGTTGTAGAGCCGCGTTGAGTCCTGTGGAAAAGTCTGCACAGATGCGTATGGAACCATTGGATTTTTTTACAACCACAATTGGTGCAGCCCATGATGAATAAGAAACAGGTACTAGGACACCCTCAGTTTCCAAACGTTGAAGTTCAGCGTCAACCAGAGGTAAAGATGCGTATGGGACTGGACGCTTTGGGCGAAAAACTGGCGTAGCTTCTGACTGCAGTTTTAAAACAGCTTCAGTTGTGGAACAAAGTCCGAGACCAGGCTTAAATAGTTCAATAAATCGTTTTCGAAGGTCTTCAGCATGCTGTTGTGTAGAAGCAGTAGTTTGGACTTGATTGCAGATAGCGCTAATAGGAAGATCAGCGAGACCAAGTTCTTCGAACCAATCTAAACCTAAAAGGTTGAGCGGAGAATTGGTGATGTAGCATGTCCCATTGAAGGTTGTACCTCTGAATGAAATGCAGCAATAGAGTTCACCATGAAGGCGGAGATGACCCCCACAGGCACTGACGGCTGTCTGAGAAGATGGTTTGATGGGAGGTTGACCCAAGGTTCGCCAAGTCTTTTTCGACAGAATGGTGATATCTGATGCAGTGTCCAACTGCAAACGAACTGGCTGACCATTGATTGAGAGGGTCAGAAATTTGCGTCGAGTCGCGGCATGAGTATGGAATACTGCTGCTAAACTCCTTGATGAGGTAATCGGCTTTTTGTGAAAACGACGCTGCGTCTGTACATTTCGACGGTTATTGTATCGGTTGGATTTGCAAAAGCCGCTTTTGTGACCAACTTTCTGACAGCGATCGCACACATGCTGTTTGAATGGACAGAACTTCACATAATGCCAGGCTCCACAGTGCCAACATGGCGAGGGGGGCTTCTTCTGAGCCGGTTTAGAGTGATTAGAGATAGAAACAGCGCTGGCGTTCGAAGGACTCGAGTTTGTCGATCTCGAAGATTTTTTTTGGTGCTGAACAGCATGAACTTCGGAACCACCCTGGCCCCCAGATTGGACCAAAGTGGTGTCACGCTGCAGATTGATGATACGCTGGTATTCGTCTATGATCGCATTAAGTGTCAGTGTTGGATCTTGTTCAAGGCGGTTAAGCAACCGAGTTCTGATGTCGGAGAATTTGGGTGACTGAAGACTGCATATGAGTATTAGGGACTTGAATTGGTCTTCAGTGAGGGATCTGAGCTTGAACCGTTCGCACTCACGGTTAACAACGCCGACGTGGGTCAGGAAGTCATCAGATTCATTCATGACCAGTTTTAAGCAGCGATATCGGGTACTGAAGAGTGAGTGATGATCACCAAAAAGTTGGCTAAGGGACTGAATAGTGGCATCGAATGAACGGTCGCGTGGGTTCTGCGGTAGAATGAAGTTGCAATACTTATCCAGCTCGGATGGACCAAGTTTACGAAGAAGAAGACGCACCTTCCACGAATCATCTCTGTCAGCAAGGTCAACTTTGAAAAGGTCTTCATAACGTCTGAACCAGGTATCAAATGTAATGTTGGCATCAGGATCATAAAGAAATTCTGAAATACCACTGGTAATACCATCAACTGATTCAGGAATTGTCGGTGTAGTTGGGACTCGAGAAGATATGTGCGTCTGAGTAATCATCTCCATCAGCTTCAGCTGCTGTTCGAACAATTTTTCTAATTTGGCTGGATCCATAGTTATTCACCAACTTGTTGCTAAATCTCCGTCGCCAATTTATTGTGAATCGCGAGTTGGCTACTCTAAATTCTACCGATTGACAAGCTTCAGATATCCGAGTTCGACCCCTATACTGTTCCCAATCTCCAATATATCAGAACACGAACCGTAGATGTAAAACCGTTTATGGGGTCAGGAGCAGCAGAATAATGATTTACAAACAAATGCATATTTATACAGTTAGGATTACTATAAATATTGACCAACAGAAAGATGACACGTTAAATAATATTGACCAATAGGAAAATGACACGCGAAATAAATATTGATCAGTAGGGAAACGACCAATAGGGAAATGACACCATTTAGCGTTCAAGGGTAGCGTTAGACTTAACCGGATAATTGTTTTTGGGATATTTTTCTGAGTATCCCAACAACAGGTAAGGAATCTAATATGGAGTCCTATGAGTGTTTATAGCTAGAATAAACTCAGTACTTTGACACAGTCAGCCAGTCAACAACATAGAACTTAGTACATAATTACATCAGTTCGAGTTGCCATACCACATTAGCACACAGATACAATTGTCTATTCACATCACATAGTAGAAGTAGTAAGAGTATAAGATGTTACTCAAGGAGTATAATCCAGTGAAATCAATTTGGAAAATAACAGGGACATGAAGAACTCAGAAGATTAGAATTTGAGAGAACACAAAGAGTGAATGCACCTGCGCCATTGCAAACTATTTTGAACCATGTCATTCAAGGTCTCTAACCATCGGTTGCTATCATCTCGCAGATCCCCGCAACCAGATAGTCTACACCTACCAACATCACTCAGTCCACTTGTCAGTCACTTCATGGACTTGTGCCATGTTTTGGTCTGGCCGCCCACAGCTTTCTTCCAACCTACTCCTACACCATAGAACATCACAAGTCAGGGAAGTCGGTGGTTGGGCATACGTAACACATGTCCCAGCCATCTCAACTCATGAAGTTTCACTACTTCATCAATTCATTTGCCATCCTTACCTATATATATATATATATTTTAATTCAGCCACGCGACACAAATCAAACAGAGAAAGTCGAATATTTGTGTTAATAAACCCGAAAGTGATAATAAACCCTACTATATCTAAATTAAACATCATATAATATGTACGTTAAAATCAACAACAGAACCACATAATCTACAAAGAATAATTACTGAAAATAAATCAATGGAACACACCAAAAGACCATATATCTGCTTTCCAGTTATAAGGAGCATCTTTAAAAGTTTCACAATTGATAACTTCTGGAGCCATCCAGTAAGGTGTCCCGATGAATGTCGATCGCTTTTGCTTTTCATCCGTTAACTTGGCAGAAACTCCAAAATCAGCTGTTAATCGAAAAACAATTTTAAGAAACCTGCTGTTGCTGAAATTGTCTTTAAATTCACTATTTCAAAAACATTTATATCCATGTATCCACAGAAAGACAACAATTTAAAGTAGTGAATATACACATATATCTCCCTTTACCTGCTTTATGTGCAAATGATAATGAACACACTCACTCAGAATCTTAAACATGCACTTTTCAGCTAAAACTTCGTTGAAGATGCCATGAACTCACTTAAACAACTTAGATATTATGTGAGATTCACAAAGTGAATGCTTGCAGCTGTAGAATAAAGCACGGGTTATAAAGAGAAATCAAATTAAACAGGAGCTAGTCAGTTTTCCTGCGCTAGCCAACCACAGGGTCCCCTAGACGTTTACTGTGCCAACCCCCTGAATAAAAATATTGAGATGTAAATCATCGTATCACTAAACTCTACTTGTTTTCACTACAAACTTTAACATTAAACCGGAGCAAATAAGCTGTGTCATTAGTGAAAAGAAAACCTCAAAGTCCGCCTGACGATGAAATTTAAGAAAGATTTACGTTTCTTAATTCTCCGATGTCACTTAGTTTTCTTAAATTACTTGGATCATACAACACGAACCTACAGTCAATGAAGATTTTTTCGTTGATTAGTTTCTGAAAAAATATGTTACCCACCATATTTGCCGTTCAAGTTTTAACAAGTACCAATACTGATAAACATGTAAGGTTGAGAAGACTTGGTGTTAGGTGAGAAGCATTTGTATCACAACCTGATTTCCCCTAACAAAACACGTTAATGGTAAGATACGAACGTCAGTGTTCACTATAGATATATATAAATTGTTTACTTTAAATCTGAATCGTGTGGATTATGACTAACCAAGTTTAACTTCGTTATTAAGAGTGAGTAAGATGTTCCAGCTTTCATGTCTCGGTGGATTATCAGCTTCTCATGAAGGAATTCAAGACCCTGAAGGACTTCTCTAGAGACAAATCTGATCTGCGGCTCAGTCAAAGGCTTTTCAAGGGTCTCCATAATAGAGTCCAAAGCTCCGCCACCACATAGTTCCAGATAAATCTTTCTAGTAATGTATATGAAGAATAACCTACCCACAATTTGCTTTCATATATGTAAACTTCGTGCAAAGTAAGTATGTTCTTATGCTTGAAGTTAGTAAGGATGTCTATTTCCAACATAAAATCTTCAAGTTCATCCTCAGATTCAAAATCAACCCGTTTAAGTGCAGCAAATAAGTCAGTATTACGCTTATGAGTCTACAAACACGTGTGAGCAAAATAAAATACGCACCTTGTACACTTTGCCGAATGCCCCATCTCCAAGCTCCGAAATAATTTCCCATATATCTGTTGGGTTAACATTCCTTTCTATTGTAGTGGAGAAGCTCTTTTTCTCAGACTCGTCAGCTGATATAAACTTCTTAAAAAACGACTTGAGCATTTCAGGCCTAAAAAACGCGCGGACACTTGAGGTCAGACAAAAGTACCCATTAGTGAATTCAAACAGGGTGCTGCGAATAAGAAAGTAAATTGACTGATCTGTCTTAAACTTTGCGTATTTGATCTGCAAGTGCCACTCCTCTGTATAAGTTTCACGCACTACCTTGTTATTTTCCAGGACAAGGAGCTCTAATCTTTCAAACATGTTTTGTTCGGCATCATTAGCGAACTACACTTTCCTTCATTAACAAATGAAATGTTTTATTTCCTAAAACAGTGTGATTTAAAAACAGAAAGTGAATATTTCCATATTTTGAGATATCGGGTTTCTGTTACGTTTGTCACTCCAGAAGCTAGAGTTAAGCTCTGTGGGGCTATTCCATACGTTTTTTTATTTCATAAGTTTTCGTTGTTACGTATCTGTATGTTTCAGTTTTTTCCTTGTAGTTAGGTTCGTCTAATATTTTAACGTTTTACTGCCTCAACGACTACTATTTGAAGTTATCCGTTGGTAAATTTTTATTGTTGCTCTCTTAAGGTATAGTGGCATTGGACCATAATTTTAGGATTAGGTCTATTATTAGAGCAGTACTAATATCATAGTAGGCTATAATTCTACAAAGTTTATCGCTTGTCGAACCTTATGTGGTTTGCTCTTTTGACATCATTTTTGTTCAAATGGTCACCCAAAGTCATCGATAAAGTCTATTGTGTGTTTCTTCCCGGTTGAAGATGACATGCAGCCTGACAAGTGTTAGATATGGTTCCATAATGTAAGTAGCATTCTACTGTCGCTTGCGCGTAGACGTTACACAAGTCCGGTTTCACTCTCGTTATCTAAATAGTACTGACTAATTAAAGCGATCCTCTTAGATGAATGCCCACAGCTTTTCACTCCAATGAAGGAATTTTTTAATTATTATCCCCGCTCAACGAGCCTGACATGAGACAAAGAAGAAACTACAAGTGTGAATGATAATAGTGTCAGTTTAGCTCGTACCCATGATTAAATGGTTGATGCACAAAGGGTGAAGTTATTGCAATAGGTCTAAATTTCACATTCTTATTACCAGATACTTTCTTGGGTACAAGGATTATCTTCATCGTTCTCCACATTTTCGGTATGAGATTAGATGAGAAGGATCTGTTGAGAATGGTCGTGAATGGGTAACATAGGACGCTAGCACACCTAAAAAGGAGTTTTGGGACACATGAGGTCCTAAACATAGGGATGAATAAAGTGACTGGAGACATCTTCGGACATCAGTTTCAGTGAAACTAGGAACACAGATATTCTTTAAACCTTTGGATGACGGGAGTACTACATCAGACGACTGACGTACAAAAGACTTATTTAGGTCACAAACATTCAGCTGGTTATCGTTCATAATGTTTCTGTCACCAATAAATTCTTTAAAGAGTTTCCACATACTTGGGGATTTTTTACAAAACAATAGTTTTTGATTAAACATAGAGTTGAGAAATACAATCTCCAGGTTTATCAGACCATTTAACTTACGAACTTCGTTAATTTTTCTCCTTGTACATTCTTTCTTTCACTCTCGTTATCGTTTTAGTTGTGAGGATGTAAGTCGATCAAAACTTACGAAAATGGTTTCAGTGGAGCAGCAAATATCAAAACAGAATCTAAGATAACAAATGATAACATCAGTAGTGTTTTCCAGTGAGTCATCTGTAAATAATTCCCAGTTAGTCGCATAAAAAAATGTTTTTCAGATTTCGGATATTGTGTTCTGAGTAATTCCTATATTTAACTTTCTTGGTTTGATGTACAAGTGTACTCTTCCCATGCTTTTCATATACTTTAGGTAGAACACGAATTATACAGTGATCCGAGCTAGACAGTGGAGCACGTTTACGAGTCACATATATACCCTATGTCTTTGCGCGGTTTTTTTGAGGTTGTAACTTTTTTTGAGGTGGTATTATTTTATTTTCCTATTAGTTTTTCCCTTTAATTTAACATTTATTAATGATAAATAATTCATCACTGATAGGGTTCTATCAACTCGACACCTCATTTTGGGACTCAACGTCATCCATTAATTTCGCCAGTTTTGACGCTGTCTACCTCTTTTCGCCCACTAACGTTAATGTATTTGCTCTTCACTAATACTGGTTATGGCCCTATCCTAGAACTTTACACGTCTAATAACTTATAATTGTCGCTGTTCACTTAATTAAACTTTATATTTACATTACTTCTAATAATGTCAAGGCCATCTAAAAAACATATAATCTCTCCTGATGCCTATAGCACCTGCCAATGTTCGAAATCAGTCACTAAACGGAGTATGTTCGAAATACCTGATTCATGGAGGCTGAGATTGTTGTTCTGGACTCAACAAGAAGGGCTAGACAAGAAGAAGGACCGATAAGAAATGTAGACTGCTCATGCGGGTATATGTGTCATTGGTCCATGATAGTGGCACGTGTGAGGTAGCTTGTCGTACGATAAGGTTAGTTAATGGGTTAATATAAGCAGAAGAACGATGCAGTCCACGTTGTCTCACTGAACACGTCTTAAGTCATATCTGCACGTGAAATAAGAGTCGTTGTTGCTTTATCTTTGGAGCCACACATCAACTGGATATAGCTTACAACGTTACGTTGATTTTAAGACAACAGTCTGCTATAAACCAATGTTCAGTGAGCGCTTGTACAAAATATTGTAGGACTGACACATTGTGACTTGGAAAATAGACTAACATTCCCAGGCCTCGTATTTACAGACCAATGTGATGAGGTTAATGATATTCAGCTATTAACCGTACTAGCGAACAATGATCAAGTGGTATTATATTTTATGTTTCAACTACACGATATACGACAGACTACTCTACTCCGTTTCAGTATCTGGAAGGCTAGCATTCCGTGGATGAGAGACTGTGCTACCTTGACAGCTTAGTTGGTCAACGTTGATTGGTTGATCGAAGACGAATAGAATCATTTTAAAGATAAACTAGAAGTCATAATAATACCGTTTATCTCATGATCAAAGCGTGAGCTATCAGATTACCCACTGTGGACCGATGGGGAAAATCTTTGGTGTATGAAACACTTCTGAGTGTCCTTTAAGTCGATAGGTTATGCATCATTTGACCGAGAAAAATCTGAAATATATGTGAAACAGCCGTTTCTGGAAGCCGAATTGCTAACGGAAGACCACTTTCACTCAACAGCCGTATTCGTTCGCAGTGATTATTTCCATACATTAAGCCAAAAACGGAATATATTGATGGAATTCCTCTATAATTGTTGAAGGAAATTTCACGTACAATATCTGAATGACATGATTGAAGCTAAGATTTGATAAACTCATCTCAGCGAGGTCTACACAATGGATGTTTTTACAAACACTAACTATAACCACACTTCTGAGGTACTATTCATAGGACCAGTGCATGCGGATTAGGATCCCTCAACCACTCATTAACCCTAGAACTGATTAGTCACCAAGTCCTGATGGACTACGTCCATAATTTTGTCATTCCTCGGGATGAAATTTCAAGATCATTCACGATGCTGTTCAACAATTAATTTTCCAAACCGTAGCCCAACGACCAATCTATTAGTCTGATATAGCAGTCAGGATATTACTGAAAAATGATTCGTTCAAATTTGTAAATATGTCAACTAAAGGACAACATGTATTCAAGACAAACATTCTCGCTTGATCTGCCTACTAAATACGAGAGGTAGTTACCGGGAAGCCATCATAACGGTTTGTTTGACGACAGGATATCAGTGCATACTACAAAGGCCTTTGATAATCTGTCTTACCTAGGGCTTGCGCGGAACCTGTGGATATGTAGAATTATGGTCTACTATGATATTAGTACTGCTCTAATAATAGACCTAATCCTAAATTTGTAGATTTGTCATGATATAACTGCCTAATCTATAAGATCTTACGTGGAAGTCGCACCATCGACTACACCAACTCACTGTGTCGTATCAATTACCAATACATGATGTAGAACAAGGTTAGGCTAGAGAAGGAACAATATATTTAATATGAATAGAAGATATAAGGTAACATTCAGCGGAGACCACGCCTGCATGGCCGAGCCATGCCACTCGATCAACACCAGTACCTTCAACTCATTGTTCGCGCCTTCTCCATTGTTAGGTATTTCTCCGCGTTAAATATTGAATATCTATTTTCTGAGTAGTCCCGTGTTCAGCTTTGTGGATTGTGCGGTTATTGTTCAATGCCACTACAGATATTTTCGAAAAGCTCTGTCATGTAAAAGTTTGATACAGAGGATGAGGGTGTATTTAAAACCAGCTGAGTGAAAACTAGCGAATAGTGGTGTGCTTTTAAACACAATATCAGTTCTCCTTCTTTTCTTGTCTAAGTTAATGAATTACCGGGTCTACTCATATTATCGACACTTATTTGCAGATGGTATCAAAATATAGAGATCAATACCTAGTGG